CCATATCACAGACTAACCCAACTAGATATTGGTCTCTAATTTGTTACTTTAAGAGTTGTCTTTCATTGATTACTTATTAGATGTCAGCTAATATGCTAAGCACTTTACATAAGTAATCTCATATAATCTTTACAACACAGATTGAGGAAAGGAAACTGAGGTTCAGATAAATTAAATGACTCATCTAAGGTCACATGGCCAATAAATAGGGAAATCTTCCATTTGAACTCAGGTCTGTTTTATCCTGATGCCCGCTATGCTGTAACTGTGCTATTTTTTCTCCCATTGTACACTTCTTCGGCCCATAAAGTTATTGACTATCTAACAATTTCTCCAAGTTAGCCTATCTTGTTTAGTTAGCCTATCTTGTTTTTTGGACCAATCTTCAGCCTATGCTATGCCATTCCATATCCTTCCCCTGAAGTGCTCTGAGTGACAGAGGTGCCAACTCCTGTAGGCTGCATTTCCCAGGCTCCTAGATCAACCAGCCTCTTCCTGCATTCAGGCAATGGGAGGTGCTGGCAAGAAACTGGAGGGAAGAAGACAGAAGTCAGACTATTTCTCCCTCTCTCTGGGTCTCGAGTTGCATCTCTAGCATAGCTATATCTTCAGCTCTAACTAGTCAGGCATTAGATGGTTGGTTACAACTTCACCCAGTGGCTCTGGCTGCTGGTAACATTGATTCCTCCTTTTGTCTCTCCAGCTTAGGGGCGGTAGCAACTTTCTGCTCTTGCAAATCTCTGGATTGCTTCACAGTCCTCTGTTTGGCATCTCAGCTCTTTCATGACCTGTGTAAGCAATTCATGGATTAATTTCCTTTGTTTTAAATTCTTAGGCTGGTTTCTGTTTTTCTAGTTGGAACTGACTGATACATTGTCTAGTCCTGTATTTCACAGAGTGGTGATGATTCCTCTGATCTGATTATACATAATGCAGGAATTTGTCATTGATAAAGTGATAGCTCAGAATCAGCCCCAAAATTGCTTGCCAGTGTTTGTCTCTAATGAACAAGGTGTTTTCATTTTTTAAAAATTTTATTTTCCAGCTAGTAGTTATGCCAGTGTTCTAGCCTGGGTTCCCTAGAAAGCAGAGCGTGAAGCAAGGACTGGGTGATGATGTTGTTTCTGGGAGTACTTGGGAGGTACAAAGTCACGGCAGCAAGCGCAAGGGAAAAGGGAAGTTAAACAAGGGAAGATGGGAAACCGTGCAAGGTGATGCTTACCCATGCTGGTCATTGCTTCACCACAAAGCCACAGGTGACATCTGGTCTCTCAGCAGGTACATCTGCTCCCCTACACTATCTCAGGACAGACTGTGTGGAGACAAAGTGCCTCAGAGTCATCAATCCAAGGAATTTAACCACCTGCACCCTTCGGTCTCCCATTTCCCCATCATCAAAGTTTGCCTCGGAGAGTGTTAATGTCTTCACATTTCTGTCATAGCATCCAACCCCTTCAGACAGTCACTCAGGAAGCCTGGTACTACGCTTGGCAGGCTGGCGCACTGTGTGAGTACAGAAGAGGCAGGAGAAGCCAGACTCTAGGACACAGCTGCCTGGACAGAGCTCTCATCCATGGTGGAGGCTGTGAGTCTGGGAGGCAGTTTGAGTGGAAGGAATCTGAGGGGGCACATGTTATGGCTGGAATTCTGTCCCCCCATATTCGTATGTTGAAGTCCAAACCCCTGGTACCTCAGAATGTCACTTTATTTATTTGGAGGCAGGGTGTTTAAATACGTGATTACGTTAAACGAGGTTAAAATTGAGATGGGTCCTAATCCAATCTGACTGATGTCTATCAGAAGAGGAAATTCAGGCACACAAAGAGACATGAAAGATGCAGATACAGAGGAAACGACCATGTGAAGAGGCAGTAAGAGGGCAGCCACCTGCAAGCCAAGGAGAGAGTCCTCAGAGGAATCCAGCCCTGCTGACACCTTCATCTTGGACTTCTACCCTCCAAAACTGTGAGAAAACAAATTTTTGCTGTTCTTGCCACCCAGTGTGGTATTTTGTTATGGTAGTCCAAGAAAACTAGTACAGCACAAAGGATGCTTCTGAGATAAACAGTTCTTGAAATCCCTTCTTTCTACATAGAGAGGTTCTTCCAAAGGATTGGCCTGTTCTTATACAACTTTGACATCATAATTTTGGGGAGAAATCCACCCGGTGGTGGGGTGGGTTTATTTGTATGAACATATAGATGTTGGGGTTTCGTTATTTCTAAAGCTGTCATGGAAGCTGGTGAGTGAGGAGAGCTGCCTTGCAGCACAGCTGCATAAAATATTCCCGTACAGATCCTAGCATAGTGAGCAGAATATGTACCTTTCTATCCCAGATGGAAAGGCCAGGTAGAGCTGAGGTGGCCAACATGGATCTTGTGTGGACCAAGCAAAACCTGTAGCTAGGGGTGAGTGGAGATGTTAGAAGTGACCCAATCATGTCCCAGAGAAAACGCTGAGAGTGAAAGCCTAAGAAGCATGTCCTAGTGAGTCAGACAAGTAAGGGGGCACCACGGTGCACTGCTCTGTGACGCAACATGAAGCGGAGTTAGGCATCAGAGGTGGAGGAGGGAGAAGGGGATGAGAGCAAGTCAGAAGAGGTGAGCAGCAGGGCTGACTGCCCACTGAAGCTAGAGAACTAGTGTCCATAGCTAGGCTTCCTGGTACGTGTCTCACATGGGCAGAGCTAACCCAACAAAAGGCCAAGGAGAGAAATGATTTCTAAATGGATTAATAAGTGGATGACTGCTCCTGTATAACAGTCTCCCTAAGGATGCATTAAGAAGCACTGCCTGTCTTCATCGTCTATACCTTGGGCTATTTCTTTCCAAGAAAGTGACTGCTGTTGAACTAGATCCTGATGCATTCATTCAACAAACATTTGCCAAGCACTGTGCTGAGTCAATTGTATGCAAGGAGGGACTGAGATAGCTCTCTCTGCTTACCATCTTTCAAGTACTGTGTAACTCTGATTACTTTTCCTAAATTATTGTTGCAATAAAGTTGATCTGATACACATTTTTAAAAATCCAGTTTCCCAGTTTATTCCAAAAGTTAGGATCTTTAGTTTAGCACATTTTCCCCCCAAATGAGATTGCTTTTTCTCATTCATAATCAAGATTTCACTTAAATGCTATCTTTTTGTTTTATAATGATTCCTGTTTTACTTATTAGCATCTTGATATTAAGAAAGGAGTCCAGGCTTTAAATTTAAGCAAACTTGGGTCCAAATTCAGCTCTATCATTTTTAATCTGGGTACATTTTAATTTCTTTGAGCCTTAGTTTCCTCATCTGTAAAATGGAGAGAATAACATTCACCTTGCAAGCTAATTGGGAGATAGGAAATAATATGCATTTAATAGGTACTCAATAAATACTTATAACATGGAATTATATTGTATTTATGTTTAGTTTGTGCAAATTAAATGAAGAACAAAGAAGAAAAAATGGTATACTTTTGCTATTCCTGAAATATTTCATAAGAATAATTTTTTTAAATGAAACTTTAAAAAATGCCTTAGAAAAGTGCCACATTGAAAGTGAATATACAGCTTCCCAAAAAGTCCGATGCAGCCAATTTTCCTTCAGTATTGGGTGTTTCTTTAGTTGAACACCAGATGATGAAGTTGGCTTGTATTTACAGACCATGCTGTACCAAAAAAAAAAAAAAATGTGTATCTTTAAACACCAGAGTTACACTCAACGCAGCAAGATGTTCACACTAGGAGAAGCCAAACAAGAGTACAAAAGATTCAAGTCTCCCATCTCAAGCTAAACCTGGAGCATATTCTTTGAATGGAATGGAGAACAGAGGCACTGGCATCCCCTAAGTTGTGCATTCTTTATTCCAGATAATTTAAACAGCCATAAAATAAGTCTAGTTTTGCTAACAGTTGTACTAATAATGTTTCATCGAGAGAAATCCCTGTTTATCCTTGCCCTTTATACCCCAGCTCAAACCCAGTAACCTGCATTTGTTGCCCCCAGTTTCTTTGTGCTAAATTCTTATATTGTCAAGTGAAGCTTTTCCCAAATTCTCTCTAGCTTCCATTCTAATACAGTACAACACAGAACTATGAAGTAATCGTCAGTTTTTATGGTTGTTTGGCTCAAGTTTTTTGGTCAATCTCAGAGAAGTAAACCTTTTTTTACCATTAGAGTTAATGAGACACAAGAAGAAATCCTTACAGAAGCTGTTTTGAAATACACTAAAATCAAGGAAATATAGTAAGGTTTTAGGCCATATTTAATACATGTTAAATCTCCCTGTCTTACATGTATTTTAGTCAAAGGTTAAGCATGGTGTGAGGAATGGGGTATTTTAGTTCTTGTTGAGATTTTGCAACATCAGATATATTATACTGTGCCACAAAGGTGGTAAAAAGGATAGCACTTTTCATTTAATGACTTCCTCTTGGCCTTTGTCAAATAATGCATTGCTCTTGAAGAAGGGTTTGGAAAGAACAAAGTGAAGAATCCAGCATCGGTAAGAAATACTGATCATTACTGAAATCTAAGCAAGTATTTTCAACTAGTCTTCACACTCATCTGTCGGCCATAGTTTTGCAATGTTTTCAGAGACTTTCACATTTCCATGAACACTGGGTAGAAGCCACAAATAAATATTCTCACATGATTTCTCTTATAATATGAATATTTTTCCACTTCTTATAAAAATAAAATGATAGGCCGACTCCTGGACTGATTATCTTTAGCAGCAGCATATTCCTTTTACTATCATCCAATACATGTATATAAGAAAAGTTTGAACATAAATACAATTAATGAAGTATTTCTGAATTTTTACTCATAATTCTCTTTTATTCCAAAGCAAATATCAGATGTTCAGCAATACCAGATTCAAAAGCAAATAGTAAGTGCACACATTTCTTAGTCTGCACGGGCTTCTGTAAAAAAAAATTATAAACTGAGTTAAAAATTAAACAACAGACATTTATTTTCTCATAGTTCCGGAGGCGAGAAGTCCATGATCAAGGTCCGGCAGAGTCAGTGTCTGGTGAGGGTTCTTTTCCTGGCTTGCAGACGGTTGCCTTCTCACTGTGTCCTCACACAGGTTTTCCTTGATGCATGTACGCAGAGAAAGAGAGGAGGGAGAACGTGCACCTATGAGAGAGCAAGCTCTCTAGTGTCCCTTCTTAAAAGGACACTAATCCTATTGGATCAAGGTCACCCTTTTCCTGCTCTGCTCTGGCCCCTGGTATCCTGGAAAGCCTGTCCAAACTTCAGAGTTGATGGCAGGTGTTGTCTGCAGTACTCGAGAAGCAGTGGGCAAGGTCAGAGAACATCTGGCAAAGGCAAGTTCAAGGTGCTGAAGGCTTGCACAGTTAAGTCCCAAAAGAACCAGCTACCACTTCGGAGGGAGCTGAGAGCCAGAAAACAAAGACAACCCAGGAAGCAGGGGCCAAGAAAGTGGCCAAAGTTTGAATATAACGAGAGCAGCAAGTCCAAGAAAGTAGCATGGAGATCTTAATTACTTCCTTAGAGGCCTCATCTCCACATATGGCCACACTAGGGGTTAGGGCTTCTACATATGAATTTGGGGAGAACATAAATAGTCAGTCTGTAACATTTGTTTACCAAAGAAATACCGTGCCTTTTATCATATTCTTTGCAATATGCATAACATTACTTGTAGCTACACGCTACATTGTATTATAACAAGCTAAGTGATGAACTATGTATTGATTACTCTTTTTATAACTTATAAAATGAAAAAATTAATTCAATTATATCTGACATCACTTTAATCTTGAATTGCATGCTTTTAGTAATCTATCTTATAATCCATGTTTTGTAATTTATTTCTCGGTGGTTTCAAATATGCCTCAAAATAAGAATTAATATCCTTCTTAGAACTGAAAAGTGAAATCAGACTTTTCAAGTCAGACTTGGCAGTTTGGTTTGACAAAGGGGACAGAGTTTGCTTGTCAGGTTATGTGGCAGACATTTTCCACAAGTGAAATATTTAGGTCTCCGGTCCAAGGCTTTGACAAAAATGTATTTAAAACAAGTGATAAGATATAAACATTTTATTTAACAAAACTGTATATGTGAGAGAGTCTTAAAATTAAGAGTACTCCCATTTTCCTTCCCTTTTCTGAGCCTGTTGAGTTAAACAATTGCCTCTACGTGAAACAGTACAATTAATAGTCATTTGATAAGTCTTGGCAAAGGCTTTTTTCGTAACCTTCATCAAAATTGAAGTGAATTATAGTGATGAGCTATAAGAGCTTTGTAAACAATCCTTTTTCAAGTCAGGGAGCTTTTAACTCTTAGCTTCCAGCAAAGTTGAAGGAACACATTGAAAACACCAGTGTATAGATCATTAAAAATAATGTTTGATAGAAGATCATAACATGATGTATTACTAAGGAGATCAAAACTGGGCAATGGTTTAGTAACAAAACCCTTCCATTCCTATCTACTTGTGTATGAATATGGTTTCTCAAACCTTACTTCTATACAAATAAAGACTAAGAATAAAATTGATGTTAGACTCTCGTTCTAGCAGTAAGTAATATTCATCCATGGGTACATGAATTAATTTTTTAAAGATTCTATTCATCTTATCAATAGATTGATTTCCAATGCAATTTTTGTTCAAAAAGCTTTACTCAACACTTGTTAAATACATGTATATTGTTTAGATCAAATGCAAATGAGTAGTAATTGTACTGGTAATTCAAACTGGAGGAAAAGTATTTCTCTTTACTATCAATTTACAAGGATATTTTTGTTGCAGATAAAGATTGTAGGGTATCAACAAAAGACTTCTAAGCATAAAGCATATTACACTTCTTTGGAGAAAGTAGAATGGGAATATGAGTTCAAGGAGAAAAAGGAATCATGTAAAATTTCATACCATTAAAGAAACATGTTTATGTCTTTTTAAAAGAATAATGAATTATCAAATTGTTATGGTATTTAGATTCCATTGCATACATTTTAAGTGTTATATAATGGCTTTATTTTTAAACGACCATCATTACAAAAGGTAAGTATATCCTTTGCAGCTATTTAAATTTATAATGACAAAATTAGAAGTCAATTAGAAAACATGAGAAAGGATACAGTTACTACAAATTCTTTTGAGGATGTTCCTGCCTTTAAAGCCATTGAATTGGAAGTTCCAATCGGGTATGCTTGCACAGGTATGTCAGCCTGATGGATCCATCTCATTTTAAGAATGGCCCTGACTCATGGGCTGGATAAATGTTCATGTCTATGGACCAAGTTCCCTTCTTAGAAATGAACTGAAATCTCTTTTGAACTGTGAGAACTCTCCCTTTTTTTAAAGTTACCATGCAGATCATCTTTCTTTTGTTAACAATCTTTGTTTAGGCAAAACTTATTATGATCAATTAGCTTTCTCAGAGAGTGGCCATTCACTCCAACAAAAAATATTTAATTGAATATCACACAGGAGAAGCGGATAAATTCAGAAAAATGCAAGTAGTTTGGTCTGATGCTGGGTCTGTTGGCATTACAGTCTTATAAGCTATGCTGAGAAGTAATGCTAAGATGATGTTCTAGATCAGAGTTTGCAAACTGGAAGCTCCCAGGTTAACCATGATTTACTTAATATGATCTATTCCATCTACACTGTGTTTAAATTTTTTGAAAATTAGTTGACAAAATTTTACAACCAGGAGATTTCACATAAAAATTCAGTTTTCCAGCTGTTCTTGGAAAATTGAAACTGGAAACATTGGGCCAATCAGCTGAAACTGGCTCACATAGTACATAGTGGCTTCCCTGTTTAAGTAGGACACATGTCTCCAAATTTGCTATTACTTCAGCATTTGTCTACACTAGCCTGCTTCACTCATACATTATGCCTTCCTGACTACTATGGGCATTTGAGTTTGAGACATTAACTTTGGATAGTTTATTATTTTCCAGTGGGTTAGATGGAATCTGCAGAAGCCTAAATATCTATGTTGCATTACTGTGGCCACATTAACTGCTTTCAGTAAGTCATGCATTCTTATTGTACCCTCAACTTTCACACACAGTTACCAAAAGAAACAATGTTGTAAAAGCTGCTAGTGCATTTGGGGACCTGGTGGAGGCTGTTTCCCTCTGCATTACTGTATCTATGTAGTGCAGACAAGACATTTCTTTTAAAGTGTTCTGAAAAAAGTTTGTTTTCATCAAAGAATTTGTATATTTTTTCTACATTTGTATGCTTCTCCAATGAGAAGCAAGCAACTGATTACATTCACCTTTTTCGCTTTGGCCGCCAGAAAGCTCTACATTTATGGCTTAACTATTGTATTGTGTCACACCTCATAACTTGCATATCCTTATTCTTATTTTTTCTGTGGTGGTAACCTCCTAGTCTAGTTAGTTTCGTTGGTCCTCATTTTTTATATTTATACTTGTTTATTTTATTGTATGAATTTACTGGAAGCCTCTCAAATTACATGTTTATAAATAAACCTTTCTTATTTCCTTTCTAAAGATGGTTGGAGGATCTATGACATTTTGGTTCTCCTTAGGAGGTTACTATGGTTTTTAGTTTTCCTTGCTCATGTATCCATTTACCACCTGTAGAAATTACGTAGCTTGTAAGCTTTTGGGGGACAAGGACATTTTTATGGTGGTCCCAGAGTGCCCAGCATCTAGTACTTTCTATATAATGCCCTCTGTTGCATAGTGACAGGATAATAAAAGTAAAAAGCAATAGTATTTTAATTTCAACTCCTTGGGACAAAAGGATTTTTAATCTGTACTGACTCCTGAAAGTCTTGTCAATCAGAAAAAATGAGAGCTCCATCTACATACAGTAGACTTTACACACTTTTATCATAAAAGAATGTGTTATGTAAGACTGGGTGGTAAACTTTCTCTAGTGATCAGGTGGGGGAAAGTAGTTCTGCTTCCTTTAACTGCTAATTAATTTAGCTTCATTTATCTTTGTCTGAATCCTTATTTAATACCATGGACTCAGACTCCCTACACTATGTACTACAATAGGGAGCACATGAGCATCGAAATTACAAATGCCTATACAAAATCTTTACAATTGAATATAAAGAGAGTCTACAGAAACACTACTAGATTTATGGCAGTGAATAAATCTGTGTATATTTCAATTACGGCAAAACATATAATCTAAGACTACATTTATAGTTTGGATTAGCCAAGTTTGCTGGGAAGAAAATGTTTTTCCCAATGTAATGTAAGAGGCAGGTTGTTGGAGACACTTTCTTGACGTGGCTCAGACTGTGGTCCAGCTGCTCAGAGCACTGTTTCATGGCTCTGTCCACAGGGTGTGCTCACGGCCTCATTTCTAAAGTTATTCACTTGTACTTAATTTCAAGCCATTTTTCTTTTTTTTTACTTTGAAAACTCTGAACGCCTCATTGAGGAGAATACATACAATATGTGCCAAGGTCTGGTTTCAAAGTTCAGCTGTTTTTGAGTTATTTGACTGGACAAAAGGTCGAAAGATATCTTTTACAGCAGGGAAAGTGTAATTTTCCATGTCTTTATGATGTTTAGAAATAGTTGGAGTGATTTTCCCTAAAATTTCCATAAATAAATAACTTTTACCCGTGGTATAAGCTTGATTTTGAGATGCCTTGGCAAAAAATTTGAAAATAACCCTCTCCCTACCTCCAGTCTCCAGCCTCATCCACAGTAGGCACTCCAGCAATAAGGGAATTGGAGGGACCCCAGGTTAAAATCAAGCCCTTTCATGTTTGGATTAAAAGTATAAAGTATGAAAAGTTTTAGCTTCTAAAAAAACTTGTCTTTATCATTTAATATTATGTATGTTTTAGAAAAAAGCTGGGAGAAGAGCTCTGGTGTCTGAGATCACTCTCTCCAAATTCCTGTAGGGTCCTGCTATAATTCCTGATTGAGTTTGCATCTCACTTATCCTGTACCTTACAGCCGACTTTCTTTTCCACAGATAAAACTGGCCTCCCACTTCAGGACAATGTGTCCTCTGAAATTGCTAGGGCAACTCCATACCTTACTTTAACTTCTTGCAGGACCTAACTCTCCAATCAGCCGTTAGCGTATATTTTTGTGTACTTGGCTCAAAGGCTTTCAGTGTGGATGTGGCCCTTCCAGAGAGTAATCTCCCCCAATGAAGAGCAAATGGTCATAAGGCACATGTAGGAGCAGGTATTCCTGTTAAGCCTTATGCTCCGTCTTTCACCCATCCACTTGCACAGGGGACTAGTTTCCTTTTATGATCCTACCCAAATGTTTGGCCTTTTTGGAGAGGTGAGGGAAGTCGGGGGTAGAATGTTTGAGACTCAGTTCAGGGCCTTTGATATGCTGTTCCCGTCCTTCAACAGATGTATCAAGTATCTCTGGGTCATCCCCTAAGACATACTGGTGATGAACAATTCCTAGAACTGGTCTAATTTTTTTTCGTAACAGGACAGTTTATATTTTTTGGGCATCTTCTTGAACTGTACAAGTATGTTCAGCATCATTTCTCTGCCCTGTCGATCTTTTGTCTTTTCTTCTGTGCTGTCAATAACCTGTTTGGCAAATGTCTACTTCCATTGTCCACTCCGTGAGCCAGTGTACACCGGTCTCCATCTCCCATTCCTGCAGGTCTCTTCGTGGAAATGGCAAAGTGCCTGACTGTTGTTCTCTCATTCTGGACTGACTCTGCCATCCACCAGCCTCTTCTCCCATTTCCCAGAGCTTCCTCCCACGTCTATTTCATCGATCACCTCCTCCTCTTAGGGAAGTTGAGTCTGTCGAGTTCCCCTGCACATCTCCTGCCAGTCCAAATTTCCTGCCCGCACGCCCTCCCGCGCCGCGGTGTCTGTGGGTCGGTCCCCAAACGCGCCCGCCGGCTCTTGGGCCTCCACTGGCTGGACGTGGGTCTGTCCCGCGCCCGTGCGTCCGTCCGTCCCCCACTTGCCTCCAATTCCGCAGGAACTTTACTCCAGCCGGGAGAAGGACCGTAAGAGCGGGTGCGCGTCCGGCCGTCTGCGGCGGGCGCGGGGGTGGCGAGGGGCGCCAGGCGGTGTGGGCGTGCGAGCGGGCCGGGGGCGTCGCGGGCCGCCCTGCCCTATAAGGGGCCGTGCCGCCTCCGCCGCCGGGCGGGTGCCGGGCGGACCGCGGCGGCGGCGGCGGCGGCGGCTGCGATTGGCTCAGGCGCCCCATCCGGGGACTGGGCTCGGCGCTGCTCGTTCGCCCTAAAGGTACCAATATGGCGGAGGTGAGCAGGGAAACCGGGCAGGAGCAGCCGGGCTGGAACGGGCGCCCGGCGGCTCCCCGCGGCCCCCGAGCCAGCCTGGGGGATCCGGGGCTCTTTCCGCGGCCCCATGAAGGGCGGCGTGGCAACGCGGGGGTCGCGGGGCGGCGACTGGCCGCGGCGGGGCCGGCCGGGGGGCGGGAGCGGGCGCGGGAGCGGTCTCCCTCCGGGACTAGGCCGCGGCGGCTCCGGCCCCGGTCGGGCCGGGCGACGGAGCCGGACGGAGGTGGCGGCCGGCGGCAGCGAGCCCTGCCCCAGGGACGGGGCAGTGCCGTGCCCCCGGCCGCTGACGCGGGCCGCCGGCGCCTCCGCGCCTCTTCCCGGGGCCCGGGTGGGTGTAAACCGGCCGAGCCCCCCCTCCGCGGCCGGATCGCAAAGAGGGGAGCGGGCTGCGCCACTGCCCTGCGGGAGTCGTGCGCTGTGCCCCCGGCCCACCGGGCCCGGGCTGCGGCGCGAAGGAGCCGCACGCTTTACTTTGCTGGGGGCGCGGAGAAGAGCGGGATGCGCGGCCACCGGGCTTCGCTGAAGAGCGGGACTCCCCGCCCCGTAGCCCGGGAGGTGCTGGCGCCCCTGGGGTTAAAGGGCAGACCGAGACCCTCAACGCCCTCTCCAGGAGAGAGGCTTGATAGCCCCAGTTTACTCTGGGCTGGAGGAAAGAAGGCTGGGCAAGCGAAGCTGCCCCGGCCATGTCCCCCGGGACTGGTGAGCTGGGGGGAGGGGGCGTTGTGGCAGGAGCCCCTAGGCTGGAGCTCGCCGGGGCTGGAGGCGCGCTGGCGGTCCAGGGAGGGACTGAACACTCTGGAAGGAGCCAGCATCCCTGAAACTGAGAGGAGCTGCATCTCTGGACTCGGGAGAGAGGATGGGGGGCTCGCGCTTTGGTTTGGGGGCGAGTGTCCGATTCGAGCTGGCCTATGCTCCAGGGGAAGAGATCGGCCTCGGAGTTGGGGCTCCCGGGCCTCAGGGGCAGACTGGGTGCTCAGAACGCGAGTTCCTTCCAGAAAAGGGTGTTACGTTTCGAGTTGTTTGGGGCTTCGGAGAGCCGGGCGGGATTTGGGGGACTCCGGAGATGCCAGGGATGGGGGACTGATGGTGCGAGCCGACTGCTCTGGGTTTTGCTTCTCCGCTTTTTAACTTGCTGAGCTCCAAGAAGCGACTTGGAGTTGCCTCTCAGACTCCGGGCTTAGTCCCGGGTCTGTGAGTTTGTACACTGGGGACTCGGGGAGGAAGGCGAGGCAGCCAAGAGGGGGCCCGAAAGGGGCCGGGAAAGATTGGAGCGAAGCTACGTCTTGCACTTTTGGCAGCTGCGGTGGAGCGCTCGACTCCGCCTCCTCTGCGCCCTGTTGCCGGCGCTGCCTCTTTCCCCGGCTGCGGGATCTAATCTCACGTTTTCTTCTCTCTCTCCTAGGCTTCTTTTGGAAGTTCGAGCCCAGGTTTGTCCTATTTTCTTACCTCTTCAGTGGTTCCTAGTGGGTAATGTGGGCTCAAAGATCTGTTGCTAAATGATTCCCCACAGAAATGTATCTTGCAGGTTTTTGTTCATTGATTTTTAAGAGTTTCAATGTGCATTTAGTAGTTAAGTTTGGGGAAGGAACAGTTACACTGTTCTTTGTTGTTTTCTCTTGCATGTTGGAAGGGTAACTGTTACAAAGCTGCTACGACAAGCGTTCTTTTAAGTAATATGGCTTTAATTATTACAAATCTTATTTTTTCTCCGAGCCTGAAATAGTTAATCCCAAATTAACTTGACACCAACTTTAGCAATTTAGATTTTAATTTCGGTTTCTTCGAGAGACTTAATTTGTCAGAACTCTGGGACTACTTTACTAACCGTAACTCCTCATCTCCTCTTACTTTGTTTCTTTTTCATAATTAAATGTCTATGAATTGTGTTAAAATTGGAAGTTGAGAGGTAAAGCTACCTTAAAATAAAAAAAGAACTTCCAAGTTCGTCACAGAAAAATGATGATTTCGACTTCTGAGCTGAGACAATCTTAGGTCATCTAGTACGGTGTTTCTTAACTTTCTTGAGGTCAGAAACCCCTGTGAGGATCTAGTGAAAGCAAGGGATGCGTCCCAGAACTCTGCACATATGCATAATTACACACAATCTGGGGTTTGTAGAATTCCTGAAGCAGGTCCATGATAAGGACCTTTCCTCATGCTAATCATGTAAGGATATCTTTGTTTCAGTTTCTCATCCCCTTTCTGTTTACCTCTTCACTCTCTTCCCTCTCATAGTCTACAGCAAAAGCACCTCTGGACTGGTCCAACTCCATTATTTTACACTTGAGGAGACTTTTAAATAACTTTAGTTAGTGGTGGAGCACAGATGAGCTCCTAAATCTTCCATTACAACTTGTTTCCGTAGAGTGAACAGTCTGTTTCCTTACAGTATTACTTTTTGTATCTACTCGACCTTCAGAGCCTCACTTGACTGTCATTTAGGCTACATCTTTAAAATTTATTCTAAAAATTTTTGTTAATTTTGAGATGAACTTTTTTGTTATAACTGATTTTAGGAAAATATATACACGTTGTCAAGCAGCTGGATTAATGGAATTTTTCCGTTTGGCATCACTGACTTCTTTTAAGAAGTTTCAATCTAAGTAAAAAGCCAAAAGACAGTGTAACCTGTTTTTAATCAACTAGCCTGTTTTGTTGTTGTTGTTGTTTGTTTGTTTTTTTTTATTGAGACATCAGCCAGGCTGGAGTGCATTGGCGCAATCTCACTGTAACCTCCGCCTTCTAGGTTCAAGCCATTCTACTGCCTCAGCCTCCCAGGTAGCTGGTACTACAGGGATGTGCCACCACACCCGGCTAATTTTTCTGTATTTTTAGTAGAGATGGGGTTTCACCATGCTGGCCAGGCTGATCTTGAACTCCTGACCTCAAGTGATCCGCCCGCCTCAGCCTCCCAAAGTACTGAGATTAATTAACCAGTTTTTTTTTTTTTTTTTTTTTTTCCCTCTGTCGCCCAGACTGGAGTGCAGTGGCCGGATCTCAGCTCACTGCAAGCTCCGCCTCCCAGGTTCATGCCATTCTCCTGCCTCAGCCTCCTGAGTAGCTGGGGCTTCAGGCGCCCACCACCTCGCCTGGCTAGTTTTTTTTGTATTTTTTAGTAGAGACGGGGTTTCACCGTGTTAATCAGGATAGTCTCGATCTCCTGACCTTGTAATCCGCCCGTCTCGTCCTCCCAAAGTGCTGGGATTACAGGCTTGAGCCACCACGCCCGGCCAATTAACCAGTTTTTTAAAAAGAGAATTTTAGAGTTGGAAGGGATTTTTGAGGTCCTTTCAGTCATCCCCATGTATTTTGCAAATGGAAGACAGGAGCTAGACCTAGAAAGTTTAAATGACTTGCTTCAGGTCCCAAAAAGCCAAGGACAAAGCTGGGAGTAGACCCTCAGGTCCTTCGATTTTTGGCCCTTATTGAATACCTTCCATGTTAAAGGGGAAGCCTGTTGTGCCAAGTGATAGAGGAGTAACAGAAGAGCCCAGAGAAGCTCTGCTACCAAGGAGGTGGAAAAGTCAGCATCTATTTCATTTCTGCCTCTTTGGCATACCATGGAACTTGCCAGGAATTCCTCAAAAAAAGAAAATTTGTAATGGTGGATGTGAGCTAATTAATTAATATTCGTATGTCTTTTTGTTTGTTTTTTGTTTTTTGAGATGGAGTCTTGCTCCGTTGCTCAGGCTGGAGTGCAATGGTGTGATCTTGGCTCACTACAGCCTCGACCTCCCAGGTTCAAGCGATTCTCCTGCCTCAGCCTCCCAAGTAGCTGGTATTACAGGTGCCCACCACCATGCCGAGCTAATTTTTTTGTATTTTTAGTAGAGACAGGATTTTGCTGTGTTGGCCAGGCTGGTCTGGAACTCCTAACCTCAGGTGATCCCCCCACCTTGGCCTCCGAAAGTGCTGGGATTACATGCATGAGCCACCGCCCCTGGTCCGTATTTATTTTTAAATTAAACCACGTGTAAATCAACAGGTTTTTAAATGAGCAGATATTTTTCAACGTTAAGGAAGATAATGTAAACCTGCCAAAAAATTAAGTCCTGTAGAAATTGTATTTTTAAAACTAATTAGAGTTCTCTGAACCCAGAATCAAAAATAATGAATTATGCGTGTGGTTTTTCTGTAGTGAACAATCTTTGGCCTAGTTCCGTGTTTTGGTAATGATCTCACACTGTCCTGAAATGTTTGAAATTTTAAAATATTCAGTAGCTTGACTGAGAACAGATTAAACTTTTTATGTTGAGTATGCTTCCATCCACTTCTTCCTTCCCCCAACCTCAGTTTCTGATACTTTCCTTCCTTTCTCTGAGGGTTACTGGCCTAATTGAATTGGATACTAGAGTAAAACAAGTGGAGAAAGTCCTGTTTTCTTATAAATTTGATTTCATTTCTTTGGGATTGTGGATTTTAGTCATTTCTTCTCTTGGTTTTTGGAGTTTCCTGTAGATTTCATATTTGCTATTAAAAGATATTACAGTTTTATAAACAAGTATGAATTATCCAAAACAACTTGCAATGGATACATCTTCCAAAACCTTCAGATGCGATTTTCTGTATTCCCTACACATAATCCTAAGGACTTTGTTAATAATCCAAAGTAAAGCAAAGTCTTACAGTTTAATGCTTGTCTGATTAATGCTAGGGAACTTGAAGTACTGTTAGAAACATATAAAGTGATACAATGCTTTTAAAAGCTGAATGGCTATATAGCTGCTTCACAGAAACTTGTATTTGTTTTATAAAACAGATTTTTGTTGTGTTTTTGTGTTTATTTGAGGGTTAGAATTTGAGTAAAATTTATATTATCCTGAAGTGTGAGTCTTAGTGTATAGTAGATTCTTGTGAAATCTTCCGTTCATGGAAATTTAATTGTTCTGACATTTTGCTTTGCGTTTAGACAGCTGTATTAAATGAACTGATAAGCAAGTTTGACTCCTTTTCTATTAGAATGTTTCTTTAAGACCATGCTGCTTAAATCACTTTGTTGTTATAAGATGTTTTCTTGTGGACTAGACCCCTTATAAAAGTGTTTGTGAATAACTTTGCCTTGTTATTTTGCTGGTTTAGACATATTTTCAGAATCATAGGGTCTTAATTTATAACCTATAAAGTATATAGTAAATTCATTTAGTAAAACCCTCATGTAAACATTAAAAGGAACTGGCAGAAGAACACAAATTTTTATTTTATTTTGTTAATAGCCTTTTAAATGTGTAAAGTGATTCAGTTTGTTTTATTCCAGTTGGGTCTTTGTCTTCTGAAGATCATGATTTTGACCCCACTGCCGAGATGCTGGTCCATGACTATGATGATGAAAGAACTCTTGAAGAAGAGGAAATGATGGATGAGGGTAAAAACTTCAGTTCTGAAATTGAAGACTTAGAAAAGGTATAAGATTTACTTTAATATACACATTTATAAAGAGTTTGAAATTCTGTTGTAATTTTTAAAATAATCTACCTGAAATAAAAATAGGATCATAATCCTTTTTTTTGTTTTCACTTTTATTTTGGGGGATAGCCTAATAAGTGTTTTCATTTAATTTTTCAAAATTATTTTGTATCTCTTAACCTAATTTTTAAGCTTATATCAGCACAGTGAAGTAGGTACACATAGGCATTTTACAGATGAGAAAATTGAGATATGGAAAACTATAGGCCCTAAGATTAGTTCTGAATCCTAGTCTAGCCCTCTTCCCATTATATCATACTGTTCTGCTAAGGGTCAAACTTGAATTTGGCTAAGTACTATAGTAGATACAGAGAGAAGTCTTTTCCTTCAAATAACTCATAATCTAGTGGAATATTTTAAGAAAATTGAAAAAGGTTTACTGTATTTTCAAATATAAATTGGTAATATCCCATCCCCTGCTCCTTTAAAAGTCATCTTTTAAAAGATTGGCAAGAGTGAGTGTAATTTATAATTTTTTAAGCCCCAAGTCAATATAAATTCAAATGAACTGTATTTTTAACATGCATTTATACCAGGACTGTATATAGAGAGGTCCCTATAGGGGTTACCTTGAAAACGTGTAGGATTTATGCTTACTTAACCATGTTTGAAAATTTCTAATCAGCCAGAATAACAAAAGATTTCAGAAATGATACTTATCCCCTGAGTTGTCCTACACTTCTTTTTCCTAAAAAGGGCAAGCACATTCTTATATATATATCATCTCCTCCACTTAGTAGCTTTGTGAGGCAGGAGTGGAGTATTATTTTATTTCCTTCTTCACGTTAATACACAGGGAAACAGAAGAGTGACTTAACTGCCCTCCCACTTGCTCTGATCTGTGGTTTTTATCTGTAGTAAAGTACAACTGTATACATGTGGTCTCTATTATTTTTATTGATGTTTAAAGAAACATGAAAATGAATTAAAAAAACAGTAGAGACACAAATATAAAGAGTAAGGATCAAGTTTTTAGAAGGAATTTCAAATTATGTTTTAATTATTTCTATATAACTTGAAATAGTGTATTAATCTTTTATTAGTGGAAAGATTAGTGGAATAGTGATTTAGGTATTGGTGCGTATTAATAGTCTTAGGGGATTGATGTTAATGTTCATTTGCAAGAATTATAAGTTTTTATGTTCATAGTAAATAAACTCAGTTGTGTGTTGACTGTAATATGGCCCATATTTTAGTGTTCCCAAATTTTTAGTACATCATGTGTTATGGAAAATAAGGTAAGTACAAAAGTAATTTTCTTTTAGTAGCTCTTTGAGTATAGAATATGTGGCTAGATTTTAGTTATTAAACATACTAAAATAGGGTTTATGTAATATCTTTATATATTTTAATGTATTCATATTACTGCCTTCTGAGAGCTTTCAATAGTCCTAGATTTATAGGTAGAACTTTTTTTTTTTTTTTTTGAGAAGCCGACTTGCTCCATTGCGCAGGCTGGAGCGCAGTGGCACAGTCTTGGCTCACTACAGCCTGTGCCACCTGGGTTCAAGTGATTCTCCTGCCTCGGCCTCCCGAGTAGTTGGGATTACAGGCATCCACCATCACACCTGGGTACTTTTTGTATTTTTGGTAGAGATGGGGTTTTGCCATGTTGACCAGGCTGGTCTTGAACTCCTGACCTCAGGCAATCCACCCGCCTTGGCCTCCCAAAGTACTGGGATTATAGCGTGAGCCACTGCACCTGGCTGGTAGAACTTTTTAAAGAGTACTTATTTCTGCTTTTATTAATATATAATTATCCCCTTGGTGTTCACTGTGAGAAAAATTCAAAAATTCAGAAAAGCACAAATGAGAAAGTAAAAAATCATTTTTTCTACCACTTAGACTTTAGTATAGGTTTTTTCTTTTTTGTTAAAAGAAAAAAAGAAAAAGCATTTAGGCTGGGGGCGGTGGCTCACACATGTAATCTCAGCACTTTGGGAGGCTAAAGTGGAACGATCGCTTGAGCCCAGGAGTCTTGAGACCAGCCTGGGCCACATAGTGAGACCCCATTTCTACCAAAAAATTTAAAAATTAGCTGGGCATGGTGGTGCATACTTGTAGCCCCAGCTTCTTGGGAGGCTGAGGTGGGAGGATCACTTGATCATCCCAGGAGTTCAAGGTTGCAGTGAGCTATGATTGTGCCACTGTATTCCAGAGTATGTGACAGACTGAGACCCTGTCTGGGAAAAAAAAGATCACAAGACATTTAAGCAAATTATATGTGTATTGTTTAGCAGCCTGTGCCTTAAGGTATCAGACAGGCGTTAGTTATTAACATGAAATGCATCTCAGACAGTCTCATTTGGTCCATCCAACAATGCCATCAGTTGTGTCAGATGAACGTTGGCATTATTTTTCTAGGCTCAGAGACCTTGTTGATTGTAGGACGTAGTGTTGATTTCTTTTCTTTTTTTTTTTTTTTTTTTTTGAGACGGAGTCTTGCTCTGTTGCCCAGGCTGGAGTGCAGTGGCGCAATCTTGGCTCACTGCAAGCTCCACCTCCTGGGTTCACACCATTCTCCTGCTTCAGTCTCGCAAGTAGCTGGGACTATAGGTGCCCACCACCACAGCTAGCTAATTTTTTTTGTTTTGTTTTTAGTAGAGACAGGGTTTCACCATGTTAGCCAGGATGGTCTCGATCTGCTGACCTTGTGATCTGCCCACCTTGGCCTCCCAAAGTGCTGGGATTACAGGCGTGAGCCACCGCGCCCAGCCTACTGTTAATTTCTAAACAGTGTAGGGGTAGGGGGAGGAACACTTGTATATGAAGTTTGCACTTTAGTATCAGGTTACATCCTGATTCTGATACGTGAGGGAGTGCATCATAGGATCAAGGAAATGATGGTATGTGAGGAAATGGAGGTGAGAGGGATTAGGTGATTTGTCCAATATAATGGTTAGCAATTAGTGGGTCTTCTGCCCTAAATATGGTACTCTTCCTGATATAAATCCTTTGACTTATAGAACAGTTCATTTATAAGTGTGACTGCATTCTATTGTGTTCCTTAAAATGTAAATAGGTTCAACAAAATACCCAAGGAAAGGAAGAGAAAAATCCTTATACCTGGGATAAGGTGTTGGATCACACTTCTAAGCTGATTTAGCTACCACAGATCCTTACAGACTTTGAGACTTACTAATTCAATTTTGAAAAAATTGTTTTTATGTTTTAAAGGACTTAAGTGCTTTATTAATAGGCTCTCATAGAAAGCTCATTTGTGAAGTGCTTCAGAGACGAGAGTCACCTTTTCCAGTTTTGCTTTAAAAGTTTTGGTACAAATGATTTGTGTTTTAGCATCAACCCTCTGGCCACCACTGTCATCACTTGAATTTATTAATGAGGTTTCTATGAAGATGGTCACCTTCTCCCTCAACAGATGGTCATGCCTATGTCTTTATAGAAAAGTGGGGGTTTTCTTGAGTGAGTGCTGGGAACCTCCTGTCTCCCTCACATATACAAACTTTCATATTATTCTTTCCTTCCTGTCCTGTGAAGTATCTGTGATATCCCAGGCTAACCTCTAGATTCTATCCCTCCTGCCCTCAATTTATTCTTTTACCCTTTTTTTCCACATAAGAATCCTACTCATGTAGATCCCACATTTGGAAGAAATTCTCTTTTGATCTTGTGTTGCCCTCAGTCACTCCCCTTTTGTAGCCAAATCTCAAGTCACATATGTACTTTCTTCCCCTCCCGTTCAGTCCTTAGCTTGGCTTCTTCCACCGTGCCATAAGGCCACCAATAATTACTTATGTAGAGATGGTCTCACTCTGTCACCCAGGCTAGAGTGAAGTGATATGATCATAGCTCACTGCAACCTTGACCCCCGGGCTTAAGCAATTTTCCCACCTCAGCCTTCCAAAGCCTAGGGATTACAGGTGCACCCCACCACCCTGGCTAATTAAAAAAAAAAAAGTTTTTTGTGGAGAAGGGGTCTTTCTATGCCCAGGCTGGTCTCCAACTCCTGGGCTCAAGCTATCCTACCTTGGCCTCCTAAAGTGCTGGGATTACAGGCAGCAGCCACTGCGCCTGGCCCAGGTCACCAATAATTCCTGATTGCCAGATACTAAGATTTCTCGTCTTTTTCTTGCTTAATTTCTTTTTGGAATTTGACCCAAGTGACCATTCCTGATTATCCATACTTGTTTCTGCCTTAATTTATGGAATCCTACTTTTTCCTGGTTCTATTTTCTGACTTCTCCCTCCTTATTTTATGATCTTTTCTTTCTTTGCCTGCATTTTCATTAACATTCTCTGGGGTTTTGGCTATTGTCTTCTCACTCTGTGTGCCTTTTCTGGGTGATCTCACTCAAACCACTGCTTTAGCTTTCACCTTAAACTGATCATTACTGTCCCATCCTTAAATTTATCTTGTGTTTCTGTCTCAGTGGTGCTATAGTTACCTAACTTCCCAGACCAGAAATCTGGCAATCCATTTGAACTCCTATGTTGCTTTCATTCTTTCTATCAAGTAACTCAAGAAATGGATCTTTCCCTAAATTTCACTCAAATAATCCCCCTTCTTAGTTCAGGCTCTCATTCTACTTCCCTTAGAACATTATTTCCAAAATACGAATCATGTTTAAGAATTTTCAGACATACCCATTGCCCATAGTGTAACATACTTGAAAGTTCTTCTGATAAGCATAGATCCCCTCCTCTTTTCTCTCTACCCTCTCCGTGGGTGAGCTCATCAACTTCTGTGGTTTTAAATATCATCTAGATGCTAATGAATGCCAGATTTATATCTTTAGCTCAGCCTGGTTCTCTGAGCTCCAGGCTCCTGGCCAACCTGACTTTTCTACTTGGATGTTTCATAGTCCTCTTAAACTTAACCGTGTGCTTTGCAGAACTCTTGTTTTTGTTTTGTTTTGTTTTGTTTCCTTCAAAAACCTTTTATTCCTTTAGTATTCTCTATCTTGGCAGAAGTTACCACCATCTAGGCAATTGATCAAATAGAAAACTGGGGAGTCCTCCTTCCCTTTCCCTCCCACGTCCAGTGACCCATTTGGTTCTACCTCAGAATATGTCTCTTCTCTTCACTTCTCTCCTCTTGTGTATCACTACCCTCACCTAGTACGAGGCTTTTTAAGTGGTTTCCCTGCTTCTCCTGTATCTCTCCACCCTTCTCAACTTTTCTTCATGCAGGTGTTCAGTATTTTAAGAAGAAATAATGCCATGGTACTCCCTTTTTATGAGTCTCCGATGGCTCCTCATTGCCCTGGGAATGAAGTCCAGGTTCCTTTCCTTGGCCCTGAGGCCCTTTGTGATCTGTCCCTGCCTCTCTTTCGATTCTCTTAAACCATTCTTCATTCTACTCACCAAACTTGGGCCACTTGGCTTAGTAGGAAACCACCTTCAGCCCTTCAGGCCTCACATGTGTCATTTTTTTTGCCTGGAATACTCTTCACGGGACTGGCCTTCTCAGACTTCAGGCCTCTGCTGAAGATTGCTGACTGTCTCTCCCTGCTACCCTCTGAAAGCGGGCCCCGAGTGTTACTCTGTATCTCAGTGCTCTGTTTGTTACACTCATCAAACTTGGCAGCCCTATATTTGTGTATTGTCAGAAGCCTTGTCATCTTTCAAGACTTAGCTCAGTCTTCACCCTCTGTGCATACCTCCATACTCCATACGAGTATTCTTGGGATGTAGATCTGCCCTTTTCTCTACTCACAATTGAGTATTGAAGTCATCACATTGTGTTATAATGGCTAACTCATCAGTTTCCCCCACTAAGACTGAATTCCTTGTGAGCAGGGATTCTTCAGTAAATTTAATTTTTATGTCCAGTAGCCAGTAGCTAGTAGCCCTCAGCCAAGTACTTAGAACTGAGTAAATGATGGGAAGGTGGACCATCAGTGCATAAGAGGTGAAAATTGCCACTCCCCATTTCAGGAAGAAAGACTGAAACTGTGAGGTTCTGGAGAAATACTACTGACAGGTGCTTGGCAAAGGCTGCAACCCAGGCACCTCTTAAATTAGAACCAATATGAGCCAAAGGGAATGGGCTACGTGGACTCTGCAAGGAGCAAGATAGGACTGTAGAGAGACTCTAAATCTGAGTCTTGTTACCTTCAAGGGATTCTTTGGTTTGGAAGAAAAATAATTCATGGAAGTTTCCCTGTGGTGTAAGTGAACTTCACCCTGTTCTGACAATCCAACTCAATTTATGCTGACTCCATGCTCCCAAAGGAGTTTTGGTCGATTTAAATCCCAAGCTAAAAAAGATTTTCATGATCATTTATGGTCATTAGAAAGGTGTATGTCTGCTACTGCAAATTTATAAATTAGTGTTCTATCATATACCTGATTGTGTAAGTTCATTTAGCATGAATCTGTTTTAGTTATACACAATGAATTATGTAAGTTCCATACCTGCAAAGGTGCATCCCCTGTGGGCCCTGTGGGCAGCCAGCTGGCCCTGTAAGGAATCGTCACTGGCTCTTCTCAGGTCACTTTGTGATCAACTGTGGGCATGTTTTGCATACTCTGCTTTAGCGTTTTCATGCTGTTTGCTTTATGGATTATTTTATTTTAAAGGGAAAACTAAACCATAAGCAAATTTTAAAAATCTTTTAATTGATGGATACAGAAATCTTAAAAATATTTAACAGATTAACTAGTTCATGAGTATATTGTTTTGAAGTTATTTATTTGAATGATAAATAGTTCCTTTTTTTTCTTTTTTGTATTTTTACTAGTGATGGGGTTTCACCATGTTGGCCAGGCTGGTCTCGAACTCCTGACCTCAAGTGATCTGCCTGCCTTGGCCTTCCAAAGTGCTAGGACTACAGGTGTGAGCCACTGTGACCGGCCTTGAATAATAAATAGTTCTATACACTTTAGTAGTTAAAACATAGTCATGTGTCGCTGAACGAGGGAATACATTCTGAGAAAGGCGTCATTAGGCAGTTTCATTGCTGTGTGAACATCATAGAGTATGCTTAGACAAAAGTAGTTAACGTAGCCTACTATACACCTAGGCTATATGGTGTAGCATATCATTCCTAACACAGTTGTATATGCAGCCTGGCTGTATATGCAGTCTGCATGCACTGAATGTTATGTAGTATATCGTAACACTTATTTTCACATGGATTCCTGAGAGGGAAACAGTGACTTGGTGTCACTGTGAGGCATGGCATAGGTATTCATAACATAGGCAGCACTGTAGCCGGGGCATGTAATTTTATTAAAGAAGCCAGTAAGATAACTGGGGAACTGGGATTCAAACCCGGAATTAAGCCTCAGTTTTCTCACCTGTAAAATTGTGATAATAGTATAATCTTCCTCAGACAGTTGTTTTAAAAAAACTGGTATAAAAATATGGGATGTAGTAAGAATATAAAAGGATAATTGTGCTTTGAACATAAATATTGCTGATGTTAGTAAACATTCAGCAAAAGTTTTTCTACCAGGTGTCTTCTAATTAACATGAAGAATAAAGCAAGCGGTCAGCTGTTAAATGCATGGAAAGAAGCTGTGAATTACAAGTTATTGATTGATTAATTGGAAATGTTTTCAGGGCAAATCTTTATGTTAACTTGAAAGCTAAAAAGCACTAAAGCAAATATTTGAGGAATTTTTAAAATAGTAAAATGCTTCTGGAAAATAAAAACTAAGGTGTTAATTGTTAGGCTTTTGTTTATACATTAATTATAGGTCTAGGTGTTTGGTCCTGTTTTCTGACAACAGCAGAAAAAGAAAAACTGAAGCTTGCCTTTGATTTGTTCTGCTGTAGTGATAATGTGCTTTATGAACCTAAGGGGACAGTAGAGTTTACCTGCAGTTCAGTATTGTGACATCTGCTAAATCTGTGTTTATGCCCTGGCTTGAACAGGAAGGAACCATGCCTCTAGAAGACTTACTGGCATTCTATGGCTATGAACCTACGATTCCAGCAGTTGCAAATTCCAGTGCAAATAGTTCGCCAAGTGAACTGGCAGATGAACTACCAGACATGACACTAGACAAAGTAAGTGTGAGTATTTGAAAGAAAAATTCAGGATCTGTTACCATTGACTGCTTTTATTAGAGTTTTTTTTTTCCATTTAAAGTATTATTTAATAATTCTTAAATGTAAACTTCTTGTTGACCCATTGTGCTTATTTCGGTGGCTGATATAAACATTGTTTGGCTTTGATCACACTATGTTAAGAGTAGTATTAATAGCAGCTTCATGGTACTTTGCATGCCTGAATATTCTCCCGTAATGTTTTCATCTTTCCTGTGTAGACACATTGTATCTAAACTTAGATCTTGGCTTAACTTCTTTTGATCCTATAAACACATAAAAGCCTTGATTAATAAATCCCCCAGAAGCCTTCAAACCAAGCTGGCTTAGGCGTGGAGTGGTTGGAGAGAAGTTCTGTTTTCTTGGCTCTGGGAGTGACAGCGGCCGCAGCAGCCAAGACCACGGTGATCCATCTCTAACATAGGCTGGTTGTGGGGAGGCCTAATCCCTACTGAGGAAAATTCACACGGCCATGGCCTCTGCTAACAGATCCCTGGGAACCTTTCCTTGCCTTTCAGATCTCAGGCAGGGAGAGGAATCCACATCTTGGAACCTCTTCCTGTGAGTTACATTGTTCCCACTTTTAAGTCAATGTGATATTAATGTACCACAGACTTTAATGACCATAGTCATTCAACAAGTATTTATTGAGTGGCTACTATGTGCTAGGCACAAGGATGACTGTATACTTACATAAAAATTAATTCAAACGTGTTTCTTTTAAAATTATGTCAGTAGTCAGAGCTGTTCATTAGTTGGATTTTTAAATTATGGAAGAGTGGAGGTTGGAGGCATTTTGTCAGTTTTATTTTATTATTGACAGAAAATGAATATAATTGTTAAGCACTTAAAGGTCAGACTATTTTTGTTGTAAATTCACTAAAAATTAGCCTACAGCTTTAGATAAGCTCTCTGTATACCCACAAATTAGACAATTGTTTGTTATAAGTATATAGTTGCACTAATTATCATTTAATAGTATATTATTGAATATTACATAATATCAAATACTAAATATTTTTGTACGTGAAGTAAATAATAGGAGAATTTCATATTTCTTTCATAAGGTTCCAACTGCTTCTTAATTATATGTTATAAAAAGATAGTTTTCTTAATTAATGAGATGTAATCATTTCTAACTCTAGCACTGCCTTCTTATTCTTCCAGGAGGAAATAGCAAAAGACTTGTTGTCAGGTGATGACGAGGAAACTCAGTCTTCTGCGGATGATCTGACGCCATCTGTGACTTCCCATGAAACTTCTGATTTCTTCCCTAGGCCTTTACGATGTAAGAAACCCAGTGGATTACTGATTAATAGTAACATTGATACTGTAGCTTTAGTACATTTTATTGTGTTCAGTAATTTATGTCAGAATATTCTAAATATTTTATGTGGTTGAGATAAAATACATCTGTAATTTAAACAAGATTATAACCTTTCTTTTGGGATAGAGGTGAACTAATATGTCATTTAAAAATTGAAATATTTGGCCAGGTGTAGTGTCTCACGCCTGTAATCCCAGCACTTTGGGAGGCCGAGGCAGGCGGATCACTTGAGGCCAGGAGTTTGAGACCAGCTTAGCCAACATGGTGGAACCTATTCTTTACTAAAAATACAAAAAATTAGCCAGGCATGGGGGCATGCACTTGTAATCCCAGCTACTTGGGAGGCTGAGGCATGAGAATCACTTGAACCTTGAGGGTGAAGGTTGCCGCCAGCTGGAGATCATGCTACTGCACTCCAGCCTGGGCCACAGAGAGAGACTCTGTCTCAAAAATAATAATAATAATAAGATAAAAATGGAAATATTGACTTTATTTTTACAAGGCCATTTTCCTTCTCAAGAGTCATCTGTTGCTATGGTAACCATTCCTAGTTTCACCACAAAATTTTTTAGACTTTTTTGAATTTCTATTAAAAGGCTCCTGCTCTCCTGGTTTTGAATACTTACCAGTGCTCAAAAGGTATTTTCACTTTTAATGATAAATCTTTTTCCTATTAGTTCTTGGTGTTACCTCTTAATGTTTCTCAGTAATACTTAAAAGGTTTTGGGGTTGGGTGTGTGATCCCAACACTTTGGGAGGCTGAGGCGAGAGGATCACTTTAGGCCAGGATTTCTAGACCACCCTGGGTAACATAGCAAGACCCTGTCTCTACAAAAAAAATTTAAAATATAAAACTTAGCTGGGTATAGTGGCATGCACATGTAGTCCCAGCTATTTGGGAGGCTGAGGTAGGAGGATCACTGAAGCTTAGGACTTTGAGGTCACAGTGAGCCATGATCAGGCTACTGCTCTCTAGCCTGGGTGACAGAGTGAGACCCTGTTTCTAAAAATAAATAAATAAAATGTTTTGGACTAAAATAATTTCTTAGATGCAATCTGCAGTCTCACTCTTTTTTTTTTTTTTTTGCTATTTTTATGGTAGAAGAACTGTTTGGTTAATAAGTTCAAATATCCATGCATTCGTGTGTGTACAAAAACAGTTTCAGTGGACCTAATATGGAACTCTGTGTGTGTATCTCCTTCTGGATTAGTATAATCAGAACTCTAGTGTTTTACTTTCTTTTTAAGGTGGCCACAGTGGTTTCCTTTTACCTCCCAAACTATTTAATAGTATACCATAATAATTACCAGGATACTATACACTTTTTTTTTTTGAGATGGAGTCTCACTCTGTCGCCCAGGCTGGAGTGCAATGGCGTGATCTTGGCTCACTGCCACCCCTGCCTCCCAGGTTCAGGCAATTCTCCTGCCTCAGCCTCCCGAGTAGCTGGGATGACAGGCGCCTGCCACCATGCCTGGCTAATTTTTTTGTATTTTTAGTAGAGCCTGTTGGTCAGGCTGGTCTTAAACTCCTGACCTCAAGTGATCTACCCACCTCAGCCTCCCAAAGTGCTAGGATTATAGCCATGAGAGCCACTGCACCGCCCAGGATACTATACACTTTATTAGGATTTTCAGTGTCTCATTTTGACCAATGTCGATTGTGAAAATCATGCCGGTGGTTTAGTATACTTATGCTGATCTCACTTATTTAACAACATTTTAAAAAATACAACAGGCATTCTTCCAGGTTCTGCAAAAATAGGCAGTAAAAACCTTTTAAATTTTTGTCTTTTAAGCAAATACTACATGTGATGGTGATAAGGAATCAGAGGTTGAAGATGTTGAAACAGACAGTGGTAATTCACCTGAAGATTTGAGGAAGGTAAGTTGAGTTAACATAGTGGACTAAATGGGCTTTTAAAAATATTTCTGAAATGATTTATGATAATTTTGTTGTTTTGACCTGTAGAAACTGATTAATGAGTTGGGGCTTTTTTTCAGTATCTATTTTTATAGTAAGTTATTTTTACCTCTCAATTTTCCTGTAGGAAATAATGATTGGTTTACAATATCAGGCAGAGATACCCCCTTATCTTGGAGAGTACGCTGGTAATGAGAAAGGTAAGGAAAGCTTTTGATTTTGATAATGTTTGGTAGATCAGGTTACCACTTGATATGTTTATTTAAATACCTGGTTTCATACCAGCCTTGGCAATATATAGATAGATTTGGGAAACATGCAGAGTTAGGATATTTAGGCCTGACTTAGGAAAAATGTATCAAAGTTAATCACTAGACTCAGTTTCCCCCAACCCCCAGCCCCGCCCAAGGCACACATAGTGCTTGTTAGCCAGTACGCTCAGTGCCTGTTGGAATAGTGGAGAGCCTCCCACAGTGCTGTACCTTGGCCTTCATCCTGCTTCAGTAGAAGTGGGTAGGATCTCATCACCTGAGATAATGAGAATGTTAAGGATGTAATCTTCTGGAAAGAAAACTCTTGAGGGAAAAAGAGACTGGAAGAAATTCTCCTTCCCCAGCCCTGGAAGAGCAGGAAGTGAAATGTAAGGATCTGCTGCTTTTGCTTGTATACTCCTAATTATGTGTAATCAATTTTTCCTTACGTTTTTGGTGCATTCCAACGGTAGTTGGTTTTCAAAATACGGAAGGGATAAGGTGGTAGGATATAAAAATACAGTTACACCTTCTTAGTTGAACTCGGGAACCAAGTACATTAGGAATATTTCCATGGGTGTTTGACTTTTTTCCTAAGTTGATTTATCCTTGTGAAGTCAAACGGGCAAAAGCAGCACCCAACACAATACTTCCTGAGTCCTTCTTTTTCCTTTCCTCCATGCCAGGTCATCCTCCATTTAAAGGAGGGAAGGACTGGTTACCCTGGGATTGTTAGCCATGGCAGCCACTAGGAACACTGTTTTCCTAAACTGCTTTCAAAGTGTTAAAAGACAGTTGTCCCAGGGGAAACAAAACATAACTGATAATCTTCAGATGTGCCAGCCTTCTCACCCCACCACCCAAATGCCACACTTGGCCCTTTGAGCCAAGTACATGCTCAGCAACTGTAGGTCCTTAAGTCACACATAGTAGAGGTGAAATTTTGTCAGTGCTGCAGATTGGAGGGAAGGTGTACTTTATCTTTTGAGGGAATAAACCCAAATTGTTTTACCTATTTCACTTGTGACCAGAGATAAAGTAAGTTCTAGGAACTTCTCTCAAAAGACAAGTGTTACTGCTTCACAGGCACACTTTATTTTTAACTTTCCTGCTACCTGGGACTGACAATGCCTGCTTCCTACAGTTGGGATTATAATGCACTTATCATGGTCCTTGGCATGCAGTGTGTTCTCAGTACATTATTTTTATTAGCTATAGTCAGTATTATGCACTTGAAGAATGGATTGCACTTGAAGCACTGGACTAAATACTTGGGCAGTTCATATTACTTTATTGTGTAAAGTAGAAGCTTTGAGTAAAGTGGCAGAGTGCATTAATAAAACAAACTTGTTTTAATGACATTTTGTTCATTAATGTATCAGTCTGTTTAAGAGATTGTAGAAAGTTTACTTTTCTTACTGTTTCTTCTTCTTCCCAAAAACCTCGCTAGGGAGGTTTGGTTAATCTACTTTCTCCTTTAAATAAAAGTTATCTTATTAGGAGAAAAAGTATACCTTTTTTAGCTATTTCCTTATTACCAGATATTTTGGGTTTTATTTATTTGCAATTTTTAACCCCTAGAGATTTCATAGAGCAATTTAGGGATTTCAAGAGAAAATTCCAATGAGGTTGTTAGAGAATTTACACAGGTTTTGTTTGCCCCTTCATTAGAAGAGTATAAAATAACCACTATGGGGTTTTATATTAGACTTTACTAGGCATGGAGAGCCTTCAGATTGGTCAGTATATCCAGCCACCAAAAAAGCTACTTGCTTTGGCCACTGGAATCCTTGGCCTATAATAAAGTTAAATTTTTGCTTGTGTGTGAAAGGCCCTACTTAACGGATAATCAGATTAGTGGTGTCTTCAAAGTTCTTTACTTGTCCCACTGGATAGCCTATCAAGGAAGACAAAGAATTGTGTACGTCTTTGAGTGTGTTCATGATTTTTAATGTGTTAATGGGATTTTCTTTATCAGTATATGAAAACGAAGACCAGTTACTTTGGTGTCCTGATGTGGTTTTGGAGAGCAAAGTTAAGGAATACCTTGTTGAGACTTCATTAAGGACTGGCAATGAAAAAATAATGGATAGGATTTCTGCAGGAACACACACAAGGGACAATGAACAGGTATACTTCAACTTCTGTGGAAACAGCAGCCAGTTTACAGTATCTTCTTGATTTCTTATATTTGATACAGTTATTTTTAACATGTGAAGTAGGTATCTTTTCTGATAGAGTTTTATAATTTGCAAAAGACTGGTTTAAAAAACCATAACCTTGAGTTCTAGAGATAACTTCACTGTAGTTTCATATCTTTTCTTCAGGTCTTTTTAAAAATACCTTTACATATGTCTTACTTGAGATGCCATTTTATATCCTTTTAATTAATTAATCTTATTCTCCTTTGCCATTGAGAATTGTTTAATACTTCATTCTTGATGTCTGTATAGTCTATCCTATACTTTTTTAAAAAAAAAATTTCACCTAAATTTCAACTTACTGTGTACTATCCTATACTTACAATTCATTTATTTAAACATTCTCTATGGTTGGACTTTTAGATTTTATAAGTGTATTCTTTGAATTGTTCTCAACTTTATTTAGGAAGTGATTAAAAAGTAATGTCTATTAAGACTGTATAAATTTGACTTAGGAGCATTTGTTAAGCACTTGTGTACCTGTAGATTCAGAATACTGTCCTGAGTGCATGTGGGATGGGGGATGGGAACATTGCCTATTAAGTTTTTCAAATGCCTCTAAGTTTTGCCCCTCTGACATCATTCTGCTTCTTTCATATGCCTTTATCACTGAGAATCCCCAACCTTGACTAATGAGTATTCAGAGGTGGGCAGACACAAACTTGAATTTTGAAGTAACATAGGGAAGTCATACTAGCTGTCAGAAAGAAATCTCATTGGGTTTTTGTATTGATATTTGAAGTCTATATTAATTTTAGAAGAATTAAAACCTTTATAACATTAGAAATTCAAATGGTTTTGTTTTTTTGAATATCACATGCATCTCACTAATTCCTCAATATCTTTTATGTGTGTGTGTATTCAATGCTATTGGAAAGGGGATCTCTATTTTATTTATTTATTTATTTTTCCGAGATGGAGTCTTGCTCTGTCACCCAGGCTGGAATGCAGTGGCGCCATCTCACCTCACTGCAACCTCTGCCTCCCGGGTTCAAGCAGTTCTCCTGCCTCACCCTCCTGATAACTGGGATTACAGGCATGCACCACCGTGCCCAGCTAATTTTTGTAGCCAGGCTGGTCTCAGACTCTTGACCTCATAATCTGCCTGCCTCGGCCTCCCAAAGTGTTGGGATTACAGGCGTGAGCCACCACGCCTGGCCCTCTATAATATTTATAATTGTATATTGTTGATGTTGAGAAATACCAATTTTTTTAAAAATGTAACTTAAACTGTTGAAACTACCTGACTCAGTTGTTTCTCAGGTTTTCTAGTTTGCCTTTTAAAAAATTTATGGGTGATATCATTTTTGTTTGACACATCATAATTGCATACATTTATGGAGTGGTTTTTTGGTTTTTGGTTCATGATTAAATTACACTTTTGTTCCTTCCTTACCATTATTATTCCTGCTTTATATCTTAGTGCATTAGCTGTAACTCTGAGATACTTGGTAATAACAGTGATTTGGTGCCTGCTTTTGGTGGAAGTAATACATCTAAGGTTTTTACATTAAGAATAATACTGGTCCTTGGTTCTACTGTCTTTATTATAGCAAGATAATATCCATCTATTTATAAGTATTGTAGTTTTTGTCTTTTTAGAATTAGAAATGAATATCAGATGCTTTTTAAGCAGCTGTTGATTTGATTTTTTTAAAATTAACATTTAATTACACATGTTTAGGTACACAGTGATATCTTGATACACATAATGTGTAGTGATCAGATCAGGGTAATTAGCTTAGAGATGACTTTTTAAAATGTAGGCTATTGATATATTAAAAGTTTTCCTAATATTGAACCATCTTCACTTCCTTAAAACTTACTTGGGAAGGTGGATTATTTAACTTTCAACTGAATTCTATTATTCCTGTTTATTATGTTCATAATTCCAAGCAGATTTAATAGGAATATATTCTAATTTTAAAAAGTGGCACCTTTCATAGTAGATGGAAATAACTGAGACCGTTATAATCCTAGTCTGAAGTGCCATGCCTGTTATTCCAGGCCTGCTGCTGTTCCCTTATATTAAAACTAAAAGAGACAGGGAGGAAATGACATCAAGGGACAGACTGTAACTAATTTTTCTAAACTAGAAAAAAAAAGCATTTAAAATAGGGGAAACTCAATCTTAGACCTAGTGTTTTTGTTTGTTTGTTTGTTTGTTTTAAAAAAAAGTCAGAATGATACAGGCAGGTGATTTCTGAGAGGTAGCGTGAGGATGAACATGATTTCACATGGTACCGGAGTCAATCTGCATGATAGTTACATAGACTAAATGCTTGGGCAGATATACCTTCAAATGCCCTGAAATTAGAGAGGATTTCAGTGTTTATCAAGACTCCAATATTTATCAAGACCCTTATACCTGTTTTTTAAAATGCTGTTAGGTATGAACTTTTAATACTTTTTATTGAATATCCACCCCAGGCCTTATATGAACTTCTCAAGTGTAACCACAATATAAAGGAAGCAATCGAAAGATACTGCTGCAATGGAAAGGCCTCTCAAGGTAAGAAACACTTGGGTTTAAGAGAGGGACATGACAGGGATGGTCATTTGGGTATCAGAATAAGCAAAGTATCCTAAGGGACAGAGCAATCCTGTAACACTTTTTTAAGATCTGGTTCAGCTCCATAGCAAATAATTTTTCCTTTTCTTGCGCTCTATTTTTAGATGTATCAGAGATTGTTCAAATACAAATTAGTCACCCCCCTGCCACCTCTACTTTCTGGAAGAAATAGTTACGGAACAAAGCAGACCCCAGAGATGACAATATGTCCAAAGTAATGAAAAAGAATAGTTTTATGATTTCATTGAAAAAAGGTTTTTTCTTTTTTTTTTTTTTTAGCCAGACAGGAAATGAAAAGATTAAAGATTAAAAAGGAAACATGTATAATATATTCCACTGAATTTATTTCAAGAAGTATATTTTTAGTAATCATGTAATAACATTTTATAGTTCTTACGTTTTGTCAAGGAAAATGGTTAACTTCTATTTCAGTATTTTTTGTCATTATATAAATGGATTGCATGCACCATAGCTTTCATTAAATATGTGTAGAATGAAAATAATACTTAGTAATATTACTAGATGACTTGGAAAAGTATGAAAACTAAAAATAATACATTTAAACTTACGAATTGAGATAGTCTATTAAAATGTCTCCCTTAGAAAAGCTGCTTCTTTGAAAAAAAAGTATTTTAGACTCTCAAAACTCTCAAAATACAGGTTTCTTCCTCAGTTCAAACTATTTTTCACCTTTGTTACAGACTATTATTAATGGCTTTGGGGACCTGGTCTCCAATACCAAATGAGACACTTCATAGATACAGATGAGTAATAACTAATCTTAAGTCTAGGCTATGACTCTTTGAAGACCTTCCAGGTCTCTGCCCCAAGTAGATACGGAATTCATCAACATTAACATCTGCTGGGAAATTGAATGGGATTTATTATTTTGAGAGCATGGACCGTTTCTTATTTCCTTTATATTTCCAGAGTATAGCACTCCACACACCAATTTCAAATAAATATGTATTGATTATACTTTAATTATGGTCTCTAATTAAAGAATTTATGGTTTTGTTTTTTGTCTTTTTTGAGACAGGGTCTCACTCTGTCTCCCAGGCTGGAGGGCAGTGGCATGATCACAGCCTAGTATATCTTTGATCTCTTGGGCTCAGGTGATCCTCCCCACCTCAGCTTCGTAAGTAGCTGGAACTATAGGTGCCCGCCACTATGCCTGGCTAGTTTGTTTTTTTGTAGAGACAGGGTTTCTCCATGTTGCCCATGCTGATTTCAAATTCCTGGGCTCAAGCGATCCTCCTGCCTTGGCCTCCCAAAGTGCTGAAATTACAGGCATGAGCCACCACACCTGGCTAGAACTTGTGGTTTCGATGTAAGACCAAAACAGAGCTGCTTTCCCTCAATAAAGGAGATAGAGTTTTTTTTTTCTAATTGAAAATACGCTCATTGTTAAAAAAATTTTTTTAATCAGAAAAACAGGCATGTTATAGAAAAATGTTAAATTCTCATCCTATAATGTAGTGGAAAAAAGCAGTGTTTATATTTTTGTATCTTAGATTTGATCTGTAGTATGCATACTTTTGGTAATTCTAAAATCTCCTGCATGCAGAGAGAGAGAGAGAGAGAGAGAGACTGTGTGTGTGTGTGTGTGTGAGAGAGAGAGAGTTTATGACCTTTTACAGGGAAAGCTTAACTGAAAATAAATCAGTGATTCACATAAGAGAATTTGGGGGCCCACGAATTTTATTTAAAATTTTTTTTTTAGAAGGAATGACTGCATGGACGGAAGAAGAATGCCGAAGCTTTGAACATGCACTCATGCTTTTTGGAAAAGATTTTCATCTTATACAGAAGAATAAGGTAAATTAGGCAGATTAGTACAGATAAATTACTAGTTACAATGAATGTAAGCAACGAATTTATAAGTCAGTTAAGTAGGGAAAAAGCAACAACTTACTAACGTTCCCCTGCCCTTAGCATTTCAGATATCATTCTAACATAACTAATTTGCTCAGAGATGCCACAGCCTGCTTATGGAATGGCTGGTAGTATATTCACATATCTTTCCACATGAACAGTTAACATAGAAAGTGGATTCACTGTATTTTTTAGGAAGTCTCACTCTCATTTCTCCTTGACTTTCCTTTCTTACCAAGCCATTCAGAGGTTTGTGGCCTCAAAATAATTTCTCTTCAGCAGTGAGAACAGCTGTTGCTGAAGGAAGAAACATTTTTGCTAAAACAACTAGAAACATATTCTAACGCCACCAAATGCTGGTAAGGATGTGAAGCAACAGGAACTCTTATTCATTGCCTGTAGGAATGCAAAGTGGTACAGCCAAGTTGGAAGATAGCTTGGAAGTTTCTTATAATACCAACCATACTCTTACCATATAATTTAGTAATCCTGTTCCTTGGTGTTTACCCAAATGCGTTGAAAACTTATGTCCACACAAAAGTGTCTATAGCAGCTTTCATCACAATTGCTAAAACTTGGAAGGAACCTGTATGTCCTTTGAGGTGAAAGGATAAACTGTGGCACCTCCAGAGCTGGACTATTTATTCAGCACTAAAAAAATTGAGCTAACAAGCCACAAGGAGGCATGTGAAATCCTAAATGCTTATTATTAAGTGAAGGAAGCCAATCTGAAAAGACTCCATACTGTAGGTTTCCAAATATATGGTATTCTGAAAAAGGCAAAACTGGAAACAATAAAAACATCACTGGTGCCAGGGCCGAGGCAGGAAGGAGAGGTGAATAGGCAGAGCACAGACCATTTTCAGGGCAATGAAACTTATCCTGTATGATGATACTGTAGTGATAGAGACATGTTATTACACATTTGTCAAAACCCATAGAATGTACATCATCAAAAGTAAACCCTAATGTAAACCATGGTCTTTGGGTGTTGATGTGTCAGTGTAGATACATTGATTTTTAACAGATGTACTACTACAATGTAGGATGTTGAAAGTGGGAGAACATCAGGATATATAGGAACTCTCTACTTTCTGCTCAGTTCTGCTGTGAACCTAAAACTGTTCTTAAAAACTAAAGTCTATTCAAAATACATATTTGTGTTCATTAGAATAGTTTGGAATAATTCTCATTAAAATATGTTTTGTTTATTCTTTTCGTCCTAAAGGCAGGCAGGGTTCTGAAGCATTTGGCAGGGATAGATCAGTATTTTATGCTTTTACAAAACTAATGGACGTTAGTTTTTAGAGCAGTTTTAGGTTTACAGCAAAGTTTACAGCAAAGCTAACCAGAAAGTATTGAGTTCCCATATGTCCCTTCCACCCCATAGTTATTATTTTATCTTTTATTATTAATATCTTACATTAGTGTGGTACATTTGTTAAAATTAATGAGCCAATATTGATACATCATTATTATTATTAATTAAAGTCCATTAAGCTTTGCTCTTCATGTTGTACATTCCATTGATTTTGGCAAATATATAATATATATCCACCAGTACAGTATCATACAGAGTATTGTCACTGACTTAAAAATCCCATGTTATTTTCTTCCCTCTGTCCCTTCCCCCTCCTCCCTAACAACCTCTAGCAGCCATTGATCTTTTTATTGTCTCTACTGTTGCCATTTCAGAATGTCATATGGTTGGAATTATACAGTATGCAGCCTTTTCAGATTGGCTTCTTTGACTTAGCAATATGCATTTAAGTGTTCACCATGGGGTTTTTTGTTTGTTTGTTTTGAGGCTTGATAGCTCATTCTTTTTTTTATCACTGACTAGTATTCCATTATGTGGAGGTACCAGCGTATTTATTCACTTACCTATTAGAGGATATCTTGGTTGCTTCCATGTTTTGGCAATTATCATTAAAGCTACTATAAATATTCATGTGCAGGTTTTTATGTGGATGTAAGTTTTCAGTTCATTTGGCTAAATACGAAGGAGTAAGGATTACAGGATAGAATGGTAAAAATATGTTTATTTTGCATGAAACTGCCAAACTGTCTTCCAAAGTGGCTGCACCATTTAGTATTTCCAGCAGTAATGAATGAGTTCTATTGCTCCACATCCTCACCAGCATTTGGTGGTGTCAGTGTTTTGGATTTCACCACTGTAGTAGTTTTTAATACCATCTCTTTATTGTTTTAATTTGTAATTCCCTCATGAGGATGATGTTGACCATCTTTTCTTATGCTTATTTGCCATTTGTGTTATTTTTTCAGGTGTTCATTCAGATTTTTTGCCAAGATTTTAATTGGGTGGTTTGTATTCTTGTTGAGTTTAAGGAGTTATTTGTATATTTTGGATTCTCGTCCTTTATCAGATACATGTTTTGCAAATATTTTCTTCCATTTTGAGGCCTGTCTTTTTATTCCCTTACCAGTGTGTTTGCAGAGTAAAAGTTTTTAATTTTAATGAAGTCCAACTTAGAATTTCATCTGATTGTTCATGCTTTTAGCGTTCTATTTAAAAAATCATTGCCATTGCCAAACCTAAGGTCACCTAGATTTTCTTCTGTTGTCGTCTAAGAGCTTTATAGTTTTGCATTTACATTTAGGTCTATAATCCATTTTGAGTTAATTTTTGAAAGGAGTAAGGCCTGTGTCTATATTCATTTCTTTTTTTTTTTTTTTTTGTATGTGGATGTCCAGTTGTGCTAGCGTTTGTGGAAAAGACATTCTTCCTCCATGGAATTGCCTTTGTTCTTTGGTTAAAGATCAGTTGACTGTATGTGTGGGGTATATTTCTGGGCTGTCTCTTCTGTTCCTTTAATCTGTTTGTCTTCCCCACCCCCCGCCAATATCATACTGTCTTGATTACTATAGCTTTATAGTAAATCTTGAAGTTGGGGAGTGTCAGTACTTTGGTTTTATCTTTTTGTAATATTATGTTGGCTATTCTGGGTATTTTGCCTCTCCATATAAAATTAGTTTGTTGATACCCACAAAATAACTTGCTGGGATTTTGATTGGGTTTGCGCTGAATCGGTAGATCAAGCTGGGAAGAACTGATGTCTTAACAATGAAGTGTCTTCCTATCCGTGAACATAGACTATTTCTTCATTAAGTTCTTCTTTGATTTCTTTAATCAGAGTTTGGTTGTTTTTCTCATATAGATTTTGCATATATTTTGTTAGATTTATACCCAAGTATTTTAATTTTGGGGTGCTAATATAAATGATCTTGTGTTTTAAATTTCGAATTTCAATTGTCATTACTGTTATATAGGAAAGCAATTGACTTTTGTATATTAACCTTGTCTCCTAAAACTTTGCTATAAGTGCTTGTTAGTTACAGGAGATTTTTTGTTGATTCTTTGGAGTTTTCTACATAGACAGTCATGTCACCTGTGAACAGAGACAGTTTTATTTCTTCCTTCCCAACCTGTATACTTTTTTTCTTGTCTTACTGCATTAGCTAGACCTTCCAGTATTGATGTTGAAAATTTCACACTTCCTATATGTTTGAAAATCTAATGTTTCTCAAAGATGAGATAAAGCGTATAATTTAGTGAATAGATAAGACATTTTTAAAGAAGTCTGGATTGTCCTTTTAAGTAAAAATAAAACCATCAGTTTTGTAATGACTCACGAAATTTACTCTATCCATTCATTCTGTAAACAGTTACGTCCTTCCACTTCACTTACCAGACATTGTTTTAGACACTAGAGATACAACAGTAAGACAGAAAAGGTCTGTGGCCCCACAAAGCCTGCATTCTCTGAGAAGACTTACAGTTAATAATGTTTATTGAAAGGTATACTGTATTTCTTGGTTTAAAAAGCTTATTCGTATATTAGTAATCTTATAGCACAACTTGCTCAAGAGTCAGGTTAGAGATACTGACACTTCTTTATTGGGTACTGATTAAGCAAGGGAGAAAGCGTTTATTGGATAAGGATGAAAAATTTTGTTCATACATCTGAATTCATATCTGTGCCTGTATGTGGTTAGAGGAACCCTGGTTTGGGTGTGGAACCAGGTTGGTGAGGCTCAAATTTTATTGTTATTTGCAAAATCTGTTGGATCTAAAAACCAAACATACTGGAGGGAGAAAGCCCTGCCTTTAGCTAGCAAGTCATCTTAAATTCCAGATGCTATAGACTGTTGATCCATTTGCCAAGGGTTCTTAATCTCTTTTGGATAGTGGAACTCAATCTGATGAAGCTGTATTCCTTCTCCCCAGAAAAGTATACCTAAATATAATTTTGTGAATTTAAATAGATTTCAGTGAAATCCATTTATGGACCCCTCAGAGGTTAGTTAATCCAAAGTTAAGAACCTCACTGTAGTCAAAATCATAGAGCTCAGTGAAGAAAAGTAAAGAATGCCAGTGTTTAAGATTTTCAGTAAAGGTGTAAGATAATTTTTGGATACACACTTGTTTTATAAACTAATACATTCTGATTTTTTTTTTTTTTAAAAACCTTGGGCTTTTGAAAATGGCCTCATTATTAAATGTAAAGGCATTCCACTAATAAAAGTGTTCAGAACTTTATAATTTATTAAAAGTGTTCAGAACTATATAATGGGAAAATAAGACCCATGGATTGAAGTTGTAGTTTCGGGAAAAAAAGTTGCTTAAAAAAATGGTTGAGTTTGTTGGTTTTTTAAAAATTCAACTTTTTCATTAGGTGAGAACTCGGACAGTTGCTGAATGTGTAGCATTCTACTATATGTGGAAGAAATCTGAACGTTATGATTACTTTGCTCAACAGACAAGATTTGGGAAAAAACGATATAACCATCACCCTGGAGTTACGTAAGTACTGTGGCCTTGACTTCAAAGACTTCTTTTTAACTGTGATATACAGTCATAGAATTACTGGGGTGTGTTTTTCAGGGACTATATGGATCGTTTAGTAGATGAAACAGAAGCTTTGGGTGGGACGGTAAATGCTTCAGCCTTAACTTCTAACCGGCCTGAGCCTATTCCTGATCAACAACTAAACATTCTCAACTCATTCACTGCCAGTGACTTGACAGGTAAAATGAAGACCTTTTTGTGTGTAGTACAGTTTGTTGCAAAATTGTGTCCTCTGTTTCGTGTCATAGGACCACTTACTTAAACAATTTTCCATTCCTTTTTAGCTTTGACCAACAGTGTAGCAACTGTCTGCGACCCCACAGATGTGAATTGTTTGGATGATAGCTTTCCTCCACTGGGCAACACACCCCGTGGACAAGTTAATCATGTGCCTGTGGTAACAGAAGAGTTACTCACCCTGCCCAGCAATGGGGAAAGTGATTGTTTTAATTTATTCGAGACTGGATTTTATCACTCGGAGCTAAACCCTATGAACATGTGCAGTGAAGAGTCAGAGAGACCAGCAAAAAGATTGAAAATGGGCATTGCCGTCCCTGAATCCTTTATGAATGAAGTTTCTGTAAATAACCTGGGTGTGGACTTTGAAAATCACACACATCACATCACCAGTGCCAAAATGGCTGTTTCTGTGGCTGACTTTGGCAGTCTCTCTGCCAGCGAGACCAATGGTTTCATCAGTGCCCATGCTCTGCATCAGCACGCGGCCCTACACTCTGAGTGACCTGAGTGAGGAGCCCGGAACTGCGTGTGCAGTACCAGTAAACTTGAGGGGAGCTATCAGGTTTGCATAGTCTTTCACTGGAAGTTTGAACCTTTCTCACTATGACATCAGTGATGTCAGTATGTATAGAACTATATCTTGATTTATCAAGAGTATTTTCATTTTTCAATCCATAAATGTGGAAATGAACTATGATCAGCAGAGTTGGGAACTAAGATTGAACTCTGTGGTGCAGCTTTAAGCTCTGCTTCTCTCTTCCTCATCTCCCAATACCTCTTCCCCACTCCCTTCTTTTTCTATTCTTTTCTGTTCCCCACTGCCCTCACTCCCAATTTTAAAACCTGTAGACAGAGGCCACCAGCTCAAAACCAGCACAGATGTTCTGAACTGAATGGTGTGGCCTCTTTTTGTGTAAATTCCTTTTGCCATAATGGATGCAGTGGAATAACAATGTTTACAGGTACCGATCCCGATCCCTGCTCAATGTAGCATTTTTTTGGTTTTATTTTCTTAATAAAAGCAGGGGTAGGTTTCTTTAAACTGCACAAACATGCAAGGATTTTTTAAAAATGGAAACTTCTCTCATGTTATTCAACTAGAGCACTTCAGTTTACAAAACAGCAAGTCCATCTTTATGGAAGCCAGCACGAGGAACTGTGTGCAAATAATGAAGACGCTTGCTTGGATCCCGTTTCAAAATTCTAGACCAGGGCTACCTTACACAGAATTGGTCATGTTACTGCCAGGAAATTTCTGTGTAACTTCATTTATTGGCTACAAATTTGGCATTTGAAGATGTGGTACTCAGATGGGGTTTTGTCCACCATTGTCAAGATTGTAATCTTAAAAATCATACCAGTCATTGATAATTTAGTTTATCCTGAGGCAGTCGACTTGCGGAGGCACAGTCTACAAAGCCTAGGATATTGCCACTCAATGGTTTACATTTTGGGACACCTTTTGTTTGTAGCACTGCAGTTCAAAGTGTTAATATTTAGAGGGACTTCTAGATTTTATACCTAATGCAGTAGAACCTTGAAGTATATTTAAGTTTTTTTGTTAAGCTTGAACAGTTGGCAAGAATAATGTGAGTTCCTATCTGAAATAGAATGGTACATTACCACTTTAAGTTTTAAAAACTGATAGATGTTCAGATGTATCTCAAACTCAGTTTTATTTTTATTCCAAATATTGTGAATGAGAAGCCATTGTCCTAAACTTTGGCCATTTTTGCGCTATAAACATGCATTTTTAAGTTATAAGGTGAATCAAACAATATGTAATACAGTATTAGGATGTAATCTTTGCTTTTATAGTACTGTTAAAATAGAGAATTACCTTTTTTGCACCATCTTAATTAAAAGTTTTGATTTTTACTAGTTGCTTTGCAAAAAACTTAAATGTTTGGCTGCATTGCTAATATTTGTAAGTATAAGTTGCTTCAAGGTTGTGCTGATGAGTAGATAGGATGTAGTGATCTTAGTAGTGATCGAAAGGGAGGGTATTTATTATACAAACTGTGAACTGCAATGACATCCTTAGTTTTGGATGATGTGTATTCTTGTTTTTCTTTGCAGCATTTTAATGAAGATTGCTTTGAAGTGTTTACGCAGTAGCACATTAGTATAAAATTTAGTTTAGCACAGTGGACAAAAAGTAGTTAAATTAATAACTTAAAATCAATTTCTAATTTATACATCTGAAGTATAGCATTCCTGTATGCACACAGTAAATAATGGGTAGCCTGGGCTCTGCGTTACTTTCTTATATTTTTATCCAAGTTGTTAGCTTCTTATTGCTGTGTTGTTGTGCTAAACTTTGAACCTTATTTCTTTTATTAAAAATCAGTACACTTTCTATAATTTAGTAAGATACTGGCCATAATCTTCCATTGTTATAACTTTAATTTTCACTCTGGGTTTACAGTGGCTGGTCTGTATAAATAATTTACACAAAGATGACTGAATGCTAATACCAGTTGCACTTAAATGAACATGCCCATTCTCAGTAGCTGATGCAGTAATATATTCAGTTTATCTATGCATTGCTGGGGTCTTGATATAAGATGGAAACAGTGTTTCTTATCTAAAGTTTTGATTATCAGCAAGTTGAATGGACACTTTAGTTATTTAAATAAAGATTTTTGACCAAAATCCAGAAAATGATATGAGAGAAAAATAAATTCCAGCTAGTTTAATAGATTTTTAAATGCCAATCTGATTTTAGCCTCTTAGAGAGTGCTAACTAGCTGGTGATGTTTACTTTTAATTCCTTGTTAAAATGAGGCAATAATTTGCAAGATTTTTGTATATAAGTGTAAATTCTTCATATCTTTTTAGATCTAATTCAATATTTTCTGACTACTTCAGCCATGTATAATACCATTTTTGTGCATGCTTGATGTGACATTCATAAATTGTACCACTATGACTTTATCCATGTAAAATAGCTATTTATTGAATTTTAAAAGCTGGATTTACTGTTTTTTTCTCTCAGTTTAAACATCTTAACAGAGAATTTGTTACTGTTTATTAAAAGAATTGCATTTGGAAGCAAGAAAACAACCTGATTTGCAATCACATGAAGAAACAATAATGCCTTTATTATCAAGTGTTAAGCACAATTCTTATAACAAACTGTGATAAATTCTTTTTTTTTTTTTTTTTCCTTTGCCACATTATTTTCTTATGAACAAACCAAAAATTCATGGTGAGCAGTTGCAGTGTTGGCTGATATATCTTTTATGTACAGGGAATTTGAAGAGGACAGTGGATTCATTTAGAAGTGTAACTGGTGCTGTGATTATAGCAATACATTTGTTAGTTGTACTTCATCTTTTTCATGCTAGCTTTTTAAATGTTTAGTTTTCCTCTTGTCATGGTCAGCTGCTGAATTTACTTGAAGGATGTAGATTACTGTTTAAAAAATACTAAAATCTGTACAATTAGGTCAAAGAATTGTGCAATCGTTTCCTTTTTAATTTTTAAAATGTTGAGGGTCATAAATATTTGAGAACATCAGATCTAATAGAGCTTAGTGATACTATTTAATTTAACCAAAGTCTCTAGTGAATATTTCAACTTTGAATGTAAACTAACGAATAAACCTGACCACCAAGGAGATTGTTTGCCCAGAGTTTCAAAGCACATTGTCTACAAATGGAAATTGAAATAATTTATAAAATATTGACGTTACTATGTTTTTTAAAAAAGTTCCTAATTTTTTCACTAAATGGAGGAAACTATTAGTTTTATTGTTAAACATGGTAGATATTAATATTCCTCTTAGATGACCAGTGATTCCAGTTGTCCCAGTTTGAAATAAGTACCCTGTGAGTATGAGATAAATTAGTGACAATCAGAACAAGTTTCAGTATCAGATGTTCAAGAGGAAGTTGCTATTGTTGCATTGATTTTAATATTTGTACATAAACACTGATTTTTTTGAGCATTATTTTGTATTTGTTGTACTTTAATACCTGGTGTACAGTTCCAGAAATAAAAATCTGGGAATCTTTTTTTCTTGGTTTGTGTGAATATTTGCCAAAAGTAGACATTTTATTTAATGAATCTTAAGCTATAGCAAATAGGTAGATATTATACCACTGTTAAATTGGTTTTAGATGCAGTAAATAAGATATAGTGAAGTTGGTAGATTAAATGTTTTCCTTAAATCCTCTATAATAGTTTTCCATCTATAATGAAAGTCCCCCTGTAATTCCAGCACTTTGGGAGGCCGAGGCGGGCGGATCATGAGGTCACGAGTTCAAGACCAGCCTGACCAACATAGTGAAACCCTGGCTCTACTAAAAATACAAAAATTAGCTGAGCGACGTAGCGCGTGCCTGTAATCCCAGCTACTCAGGAGGCTGAGGCAGGAGAACTGCTTGAGCCCTGGGGGCGGTGGTTGCAGTGAGCTGAGATCCCACCATTGCACTCCAGCTTGGGCAACAGAGCGAGACTCCATCTCAAAAAAAAAAAAAAAATCCCAAAGGAAGGATTATACTTTTAGCTTAATTCAGGAAACATGTTTCAAACACTGTTCTAGGTAACTGTCTTTTAGGAAGACAGATCTGAAATTTGATCAAATATTACTTGATAGACTACATTTATGGTCAACTAGTCTTTCTTATCCATACAATTCATAGTTTGATTGACCCTAGTCATATCTTTCCTAAACATCTTTTTAAGATAACGTTCCTATCTTGGCCTTATTTCACAAGTTTGTCCCCATATTTCATTTGCTCAGACCAGAACTTCATGTAGTTCCATTTTTAAGATGCAGTGATCAGATATCCAAAGTTTGTACAAGGTCAAGAAGGGGATAAAAGGAAAGCAAAAACCTTGACTCCTCTGCTTTGGTTACTTGACTAAAACCACATTCCTTCCTTCTCAGACACCAAAGGACCTTAGCGCATAGGGCTCTGTGGTGGACACATGCACAGAAGTGCCTTCAGAGCGCACACATATTCTGAATACATCAAGAATGCAACAAAGTGCCATGTGAGAGCTCATAGTATTTCAGGCTTTAGGAGACGGAAAAGGCTGTGGAAGCAGGGTAATCTCTAGTTACATCTGTGTTACTGGAAGTCATTTTGGCCATAATTTCCATCTATGGTATGTTTGCTGGTGGTAAGTGCTAAAGAGAATGAGGAATATATCAGGGGTGGTGGCAGTGAGGGATTGTAAATTTCAATAGGGCAATGAAGCAACGCTCCTCACTGAGGTGACAGGAAGGGAGAGAACAAGCTATGTGGCTATCTGGGGGAAGATGTTTACAGGCAGAGAGAACTAAGTGCAAAAGTCCTGGGGTGGGAATATATGCCTGGCAGGTTTGAAGAGTGGCCAGGAGGCAGGTGTGGGTTGGGGTGGAGTGAGCAAGAGGAGAACAGGAGAGGAGCTCTGAGATCCTGAGCAGATCATGCATGTGAAGGACTTCATAGGGAGAGGGTTTTGAGCAGAGGTATGTCAGTACCTGACTTTCATTTAAAAGAATCACACTTGGTGATACGTTCTGTAAGGGGGACAGGAGTGGAAACAAGGAAGGCAATTGAGAGGCTACTGAAATAGCAATAAACGAGGTGAGTAAAGCTGGTGGTAAGGAAGTGAAGGTGGTCAGAATCTGGTTATATAGGTTCCACGAATTTCTGAGGGGCCCAGTGAAGAACACCCTCCTTCCTATCCAAGTTTGGAACTGAGAGCGCTGGAGTCAGGTCGATGGAGGTCAAAGTAACTATTGCTAATAAAACTGGGGAAGGCAGCTTCAGGGCTGCAGCCAGGTTGGCCTACCAATATATCACACCTCTAGACTCACTCTGTCACTGGCTGGGCTGGCTACAGGCTACTGTCTGCACAAGGCAGAGAACTGCCAGGACACATTTTTTCTGCTGGCAGCCAGAGTCCACAGGGAAGGAACTAGGAGGGTATAGGACATGGGTGCTTAGTTATTTTCCAAACATAATCAGGATGTCACTCTTCCTCCAGTGGGTGGAGAGATAGGCTAGGAACATTACTAGTGGAAGCCTCCACATGAAGATATGAGACACGGGGAATACGTGTTCCTCCCACCAACACTATCTTGCACTTTTTTTTCACCTTTTCCTTGGTGTGAAAATGTTCAGAGTAAAGAAAACAGTATAATGACCTCACATTTTCCCCTTACCCAGCTACAGCAATCTTTACATTATACATACATATACCAATTTACTCATGGCAACACAATAGATATTTTTTACTCAATTCTGTAAAAATAAAGTTTTTACAGAAGTTTGTACACATCAGCAGTACTACAAGAACTGCTGATGCCTGGCTACAATTTTATAAACCACCACAGAGCTTACAAAATAAACAAAAGAAAAATTGAAATTATAATTTCAAAGAGTAGGTTTTAATTTAATAAGCTATTGTGTATTTAGGTGAAAACCAATTAAAATTGGAATTGCATTACAAATTTGAAATTGTAATGAAGCAAGTAGCTTTTATCATGAAATTGGAACATAAATATAATATGAACAAAAACATAAAAAATTCCTATTCCAATTAAGTCTCAAAATATTTGTTTTACAGGTATAACTCAGAGAAGTGATTAACAATAAACACTTAGAATTAATAGATGAGTAGAAAACCTAATAATTTCTGATTCACAGTTAGCTGACAATTGTGTAGTAGTTTGAAAAAAGCTCTTCTCCTTGACTGATGTCCCTAAGTGCGACAAGAACAACACATCGAAGTGGGCTGAAAACAAAAAGAAAGATATACAAAAGGTAGAGCATTGACAAATATAAGCTCATATTTTTAATATAACCAACATGGCTTTTACAGATGTGACTTTGCTCAGGTTTCTTACATTTTAGTTTACGCATTTGATTTCCACGAGGAAATTGTTCTTATTCCTGGTGCAAGTATTCTAAAGAGTATATCTATATCATTAAAAAATCACAAATCAATGTTTATACAACTTACTACTTCTTCTGAAAACACTGTTTCTAAGTTTAGGCCCCCAAAACTAGTATCACAAAAAGGATTTTAAAATGACATTATAGTTTTTCTTGTGTTCATTTGTATCTTATATTCTGAAAAATGAAAACATTACTTAAAATTAGTTGGAGTTTTAAAAAATGCTTTTTCCTAGACATCATAAGATATTGTTTGTTTTTTTTTGAGATGGAGTCTCACTGTGTCCCCCAGGCTGGAGTGCAGTGGCGTGATCTTGGTTCACTGCAACCTCCCGGATTCAAGCCTGCCGGATTCAAGCGATTCTCCTACCTCAGCCTCCTGAGTAGCTGAGATTACAGGTGTGTCCCACCACGCCTGACTAATTTTTGTATTTTTAGTAGAGATAAGGTTTCACCGTGTTGGTCAGGCTAGTCTCAAACTCCTGACCTTGTGATCCACCCGTCTCGGCTTCCCAAAGTGCTGGGATTACAGGCATGAGCCACCGTACCCAGCCTAGATATTGTTATATATACACATTCAACGTTCTAATAACATCATCCCCCGGAGAATATGGCTAAGAAAAGCTAATTGTTAAACACACAAACATACACATGCAGAGAAGCAAAAATTATCAAGTTTTTTGTTTTTGTTTTTTTCTTGTTTTGGGACAGGATCTGGCTCTGTTACCCAGGCTGGAGTGCAGTGGTGCCATCTCGGCTCACTGCAACCTACACCTCCCAAGGTCAAGGATCCTCCCACCTCAGCTTCCCAAGTAGCTGAGACTACAGGTGCTCACCACCACACCCAGCTAATTTTTGTATTTTTTGTAGAGAAGGGGTTTTGCCATGTTGTTTGGGCTGGTTTCAAATTCCTGTGCTCAAGCAATCCGCCCACCTTGGCCTCCCAAAGTGCTGAGATTACAGGCTTGAGTCACCATGTCTGACCTCAAGTTTTAAATATAAAGAATAGTTCATGTTTTCAATGTTATTCATCTTAGAAGGACAATTTAATAGGTCCTATATAAAATAAAGTTTGCTAGCAACTCAGCGAAATAATACAAAGATTATATCTTCCTATAGCACTGTTAAGAAAGAACTCTTAGCTCTCCAGAATTACCTATATTTTAAAATTTCTATTTGAATATTCTCGGTAGACTTTCCACTGAATGAACAGAAAATAAATGCTATGTTAAAATATGTGTCTTCTGAATATAGTCCTTTTTTTCATTATTAAGAACCTAATAGTGAAATTGGCAAAGAAATCACAGTGTGATTTGGTGGCCTCTTTTGGATGCTTTCTTATAAGGTAGAGAACATGATATTATAAATGAATAAAGTAAAAATATATTTGAAGATTTTGTAGGTAGGGAAAACAACAGAATTATCTGGAAAAACTTTAAGGTGGATACTTATGAAGTATTGCCATAGAATAAAAATGGGTAAAAATAAGCAGACTGACCTAAGTTAAATGAAAATTTTAAATTTCAAATAAGCCTACATTAACAGGTTAAGGTGTGAACATAAAAATCTAAGTTATAATTTTTCACTAAAAAAAAATCTTACCCCAAATTCTATATAGCTTTTTCTTCTATATTTTTTTAAGTACAGCATAAGCAGAAGATATGAAATGCTCTTTTAGCAAACGAACCTTTGTTTGTCATAGCTGTAGGCAATGTTTGGAAGATACTGCTTCAGTTCTACAGGGAAAACTGCAGGCACATCAAATTCCTGATAACAGACATTAGCTGCTCTGTCTAGGAACAAGCACAGAATTTTTAGAAACAGAGCCATTATACAAGGTCATGGAAAACAGAACTGAATTATGACACTTGATGTCTGTTTTTCTAAATTATCAAAACATGCTCAAAATAATTACTACCACGTTCCAGGCACTGTTAGATTTTATTTACTTATATATATTTGCAGATACATATATGGTAAATCATAAACAAATATTCAAAAAGCAAATAAGGCATATATAACACTTTTTATTTACTTTTTGCATAAACAACATATATAATAAACATATATGTTTAGATAATATATACCAACATACATAATATATATGTATGTTTTCTTGTTTACTTTTTATATGTCAGGAAATAGAGGCTCAGAAATGTTAAAGGTTAAATATTAATAAACAAGTCAGGCTTGGACTTCATTTCTCACTAACAACAAAGGCCATGTTAAATGTAGTCAAACAATCAAACTTTTACCTATGGGAAAGTCAACTCCTAAAGAAGATATAGTGACTCACAAACTTAGCAAAAGAAAGCAGATACTAGTCTAGCCATTAATCTGTAAGGCTATATTGAAGCACTGACATAATAATTTCTATTTTTAAAATGCTAAAATAATAATGATCAAAGGGCAGTTATCAATTGCCTATATTCACTGCAAAATCAGAAGAAAAATAGTAAACAATTCTAAATAATGTATATCATTATTTCCCCTAATTCTCTGATATTGTCTGTCCAAAAGTGATAGTTGCTTAAGGACTTGACTAGCTTATTATATGTTACACTCAACTGTCCTTGGCACTCAGTCATATGATAAAGGAATAGAATTAGCCATTGCTATATCGCGTCTCACAGCCCCATGATGCCTTCTTACCATTGGAACAATTGTTGACATACTGTCCCACAGCCAGAGGGTTATGAATTTCTGACGTTAGCCATGTACTATCACTCATTTTTAAAGGGCCGAGTCGATCCCTCCCATTGCAAGATCTGAAACAGGTGAAAGCATTAGCTAATGGATCTGTATCTTAAAATAGAATTCCAAAATACAGAATTAACCCTATAATTACACAAGTGCTTTTTTTCTTTAAAAAAAAAAAAGGCTTTTGTATAATCAGTAGGGCATTTGAGTTGTTACACAGCAGCTATCTAAACAGAATTTTATTTAAAGTATAAATGCTGGCCAGGCGCAGTGGCTCACACCTGTAATCCCAGCACTTTGGGAGGACGAGGCGGGCAGATTACTTGAGGTCCGGAGTTCGAGACCAGCCTGGCCAATATGATGAAACCCCATCTCTACTAAAAATACAAAAATTATCTGGGCCTGGTGGCACATGCCTGTAGTCATACCTACTTGGGAGGCTGAGGCAGAAGAATTGCTTGAACCCGGGAGGCAGAGGTTGCAGTGAGCAGAGATCACACCATTGCACTCCAGCCTGGGCAAAAGATGAGGGACCGGTCTCAAAAAAAAAAAAAAAGTAAAAAGTAAAAATTAAAATTAAAATAAAGTATAAATTGCTGAGCTGGATGCGGTGGCTCAAGCCTTTATATCCCAACAATCTTTGGGAGGCCCAAGATGCAGCAGTGTCGCCTTGAGGCCAGGAGTTTGAAAACCGCGCCTGGACAACATAGCAGACCCCATCCTCTTTTTTATAAAAATAAATAAAGCACAAATGCTGTTAGTCATAATCATTGTGAAAACTGTGGTTTCTGTCTCATTTAATTAAATATGAACATGGCGACATCACTTACCTGTACCAACGCTTTTGATTTCCTTTGTCATTCCCATCAATGAGTACCCCATCCAGGCACATCTAAAAATAAATGGATTTCCAATGGGACTGGAAAAAAGATCGCTCATACTTCTGATATACTGTACCTATTATACAACAAGACAAAGAAATATTACAGCCAACATGAAAAATCATAAACCACTGCCGGTAAGAACCCATCTTTGGAACACAATCACATTCGCTGTTTAGTTACTTTCCCCTTCTATAGAGTGAACGCCAATGGCAGATGGAGCACAGAACCAGGTCATCCACACAGGCAAAATAGAATTTGGCTATCTTGATTAATGATAATATGAACAACAACATTTTAGGCTCAGTTTTAAAAAGTCACTATACACACGCACCACCACACACAACCACACGAACATAATATATTTTTAAGTAGAATGTGATTTAACATCTAAAGAGTTTGAAGGAAATTTATTTTGTTATAATTAAATAATGTAGACACATATGGGAATAGATGAGGTCTGCATTAAGGCTGTTTGTCTCCTTTCACTGGCAGAAGAGGAAATGAAAAAATATTTACCTTGTGTGTTCTATGTTCCAGGGCATGTTAATCTTTATTTAAACTTGTTCTTATTATTATTAATTTATTCTATTTTAGTTTTTACAATCAGGTTATTTGTACAGCAGGAAACTGAACTCCCTTGCTTGGGGATGTAAGAATTAGAAACAGGAGAATGATTTTTAAAAACCTGGTCTATCTGACTCAAATATTCACAGGATACAAACCTTGTCATCTATACCCAAATAAATAATGTTAATTTAAATCACATAATTAGGCTATTATAGCATCTAATACAATGATCCTTGTGCCATAGAATTGGCCTAACTTTAGGGTTAGAAAGGCAGGAAGGATCTTTATTCGGTGAATTTTCATTTAAACGCATATCTTTTTACATTTTGATTCTGTACCATTTTTTTTTTTTTTTTTTTGAGATAGAGCCTAACACTGTCGCCCGGGCTGGAGCGCAATGCCACAGTCTCAGCAACCTCGGCCTCCCGGGTTTAGGTGATTCACCTGCCTCAGCCTACCAAGTAGCTGGGATTACAGGCGCACACCACCACACTCGGCTAATTTTTTGTATTTTCAGTAGAGACAGGGTTTCACTATGTTGGCCAGACTGGTCTCGAACTCCTGACCTCGCGATCTGCCCGCCTTGGCCTCCCAAAGTGCTGGGATTACAGGCGTTAGCCTATCCATACCATTTTTATTTTTAGCTATCAACTAACCAAACTGACATGTTTCTCTAGTGCTTTTTAAGTAATTTGTCAAAGTGGGTCATACTATGTTCTAAATTTAAACACTGACAGGAAAGCTTTCCTTGAAAGAAAAAGTGCATTTATCCCAACGAATACTCCAGGATACTTTCTAACATATAACAATTTACAAACAGTTAATTTCCGAATTAGAATTATAAAAATCTATGGAAACTCAAGTTTCCAATTTAATACCTTACTCTAAGGATTGCAAGGCTGGGTATTTTATTGAACTTATATTTATCAATACATAAGAGGCTTGGCAAAGTATAATATTAATCGTGCTGTTACCAGGATACATAGATACGACTGCGCCTTTTGGTACCAATCCTTTCGTAACGAAGACACCTTTTCCAGCAGAAATCAATGAGCTAGTTGCTTGGGCAACACTGAAACCCAGAGTCTTGTAAAGAATTTCTTCTGGCTTAAAGGTACTTTGCTGTTGATGTCTGTTTTCAAGCAGTTTCACCCCTTGATGTTCAACTGCCAGTAGGTCTTGATATTTTGATTTAACAGATTCTGGAAGCATAGTCAAGATTTCTGATTGTTTATTGAAATCATTTAAAAATAGAGCCTGGAAAACTTTCAGTAACGTTCCTAGGACATCTTCATCTGAGATAACTTTGTCTTTGGATTCCTCTGGAACATACCGGAGGGTCCTGAAAATGGGAAAAGTTTCTATTCACTACCCTTCAACTGGTAAAAGCCAAACTTATCTGCATACTTTTTGGGTTCTTGGCCTTAAGGAACTATAAGCTTATTCTCATGTGTGTGAAAGGCTGGGAACTAAGTTCAGAAAAGAATTGTTTGGGGGAGTTCTAGTTAGCTAACTCCCAACACTTCCCAACCAAGCAGCCAGTAATTATGAAAGACCCATTTTATACCATACGCTGTGGGGTCCTTACATTATTCCATTTTTGCAGACAAGGAAAGCAAAGTTGTTAAGGAACTTGCCCAAGGTCCCAAAGCCAGTAAGTGGGAGAGCCAGAGGCAGAAAGTAAGTTCAGCTCTTTCCTGTACTACACCCAACAGCCAAGCTGAATGTCATCACAATGAGAATGAATGACCTCACATTAAATTGCTTTTTAAAAATGGCCTTGTAGATTCAAAGACAAATTCAACATCGTATACTTTGTGACACTCTCTCCAGGAGTATTAACGTCTTCAATGACTGCATCTCTTATTTCCATAATCATTATCTTTTTGTACTAACTGCATTATTTTTACTTGAACAAAAAAGTTGTAATTCCAACCTCACGGTTCCGTAGTCATGATACAACTGATCTCCTGTTTCCCTAGTATGCAACCTTCGGGAAAGGGCTTTGTTTCCCTATTTTTCGGACACTGACTTCAGGGAGGCCCGGTCGGCCTCTTTGGTGAGCACGGTGTTGAGATGATCACTGGTGAGCCCTTAATAACGCCTGCGGGACGCACCCCAATCCGAAACCCACCATCCCGACTTGCTTTTGAGTGGCGTTCTGCCCGTTCTTAACGCGCGAGCTACTCCACGCTATTCTCACAGCCGGGACGGGCTTCTTTAACCACATGAAGTACTTGTATGAACTATGAAAATAAACCCTGGTTTGGCTTTTCTGAGGAAATTCAAGCACCTAATTAAGGCTTGGTGGAGAAAAAGCCACGCACTCTCACGCGGTAAGAGCGGTCTTTTAAAAAAGTTTCCATTTTTTCCCCAGATACAAGGTCCCTAGTCAGTGCGGAACGCAATACAAAACAGGAGACACCTCCGGCTGGCGAGCCCTGCCTCGCGGGCCTGGCAGCGCGGCGGACACTGGGAAACAGGACATAGGCCCCGCCCACCTGAAGCCACCGCCCACTTCAGGCTTCCAGCTCGCCTCTGACTCCACCAGCCTCGGCCCCGCCCGCCTCTGGCCCAGGGTCCTTAAACCCCTCCGCGGCCTCAGTCCCCGCCCACCCGGCCCGCCCACCTCAGTCCCTGCCCTCCCTGGCCTGTCCATAGCAGACCGGCAGTCCGCTTCAGGCAGTCCGCCTCGCGTCCCGCGGCCGTGGTGGCGTGTGGGAACTGAAGGCAGGCGCCCCTCGTTCTGCCGTCCCGCCCTCTCACCTCGGGTTGTGGCTTAGGTTCAGCGCGATCCAGGGAACGAAGCGGTACTTGTAACGGCCCCATCGCTGCCACAGGCCCCGCAGCAGACGTCCCGGCATGGCTGCCCCGCGGGGCCCTGACCAGGACGGCGCGGGGAAGGCGGATCGAGGCCTCGGGCCCCGTCCCGGACTGGGAGGAGCGAGGACCGCGCTCGGCAGCCTTCCCCTGGCTCCGCCCTCAGTGTCCCTGGCACCGTCTGACTTCTGTTGCTCTGGGGCTCCGTCCTTCCCCTTTCCTGACCTCTACCTCTGAATGACAGGCGCGTAGAGCTGGAAGGAGGTCCCCTGACCCCTTTTTCTTTCTCCAGTCGGTCGGGTGTTTCCGTGGGCGCACACAGGCGCTAGCCCTGGTTGCGAGCGAGGGGTCACCGGGCCTCAGGGGCCAACTCGCCCCCGAGACCGCATCCTGGGAGCGGACCGCCTGGTTTCTCTGTCACGGCGGTCTGGCCTGCCCTTTGTCCCGGTCGCGCTCTGTGTTCCATCCTCCGTCCGCCTGAGCTCTGCCTCTTCCTCGACGTTCTCTCCCCCTCTCTTCGTGGCCCCCGAGCAGTCCGACTTCGGGAACCCGAGTTTCAGCCCTCCCCCGACAGCAGCCCTTCTCCTGCGTGAACCCGTGTTCCCAAAGTTACCAGTTTGGGCGTTTTGCGAATATATACACGTAAAAGAACAAAATGTCATGATGCCCTGTTTTCACTCGTTTTTCTCTTCATTCACCCAAAAGGCAAAACTACGTGGGCAAATGTTTCTGAAAAACAGCTTTATTGAGGTATGGTTGGGATACAATAAACTGCACGTATTTAAAGTGAACAATTTGATAGGTTTTCGACACCAAAACCAAGATAGGGATCCAGCCCCTCCCCCAGTCCCCAAGCAACCACTGAGATGCTTTTGTCCTTTTAATATGGTCTTGGATTCAATTTGGAAAAGTTTTGTCTAGAAGTGTTGCATCTGGGTTCATGAGAGATATTGTTCCGTAGTTTTCTTGTAGCGTCTTAATCTGGCTTTGGTATTTAGGCTAATGTTGACCTCAGAGGATGAAGTGGGAAGTAGTCTGTCTCTAGGTGAAATTTAAGAGGACATTTACGACTGCTCCTCGCCAAGGCAAGATGCATACACACGCACACACATATTTAGAACATGTTTGGACAAAGTTCACTTTTAAGGGGGGCAAACTACAGGAATCCCTTAACCATATTCAAATCACCAAGTGTTTATTGACAGATAAATACGTTGGTATCATTTCCTCTATTCTTTGCCTGAGAGCGAGGTTGGATCCTAAACAGAAGTTGAAATTGAACGGCTCAGATCTAATAAAAACTCAGCCAAGGCCGGGCGCAGTGGCTTACGCCTGTAATCCCAGCATTTTGGGAGGCCGAGGCAGGTGGATCACCTGAGGTCAGGAGTTCAGCCGGGCCAACATGGTAAAACCCCATCTCTACTAAAAATACAAAATTAGCCAGGTTTGGTGGCAAGTGCCTGTAGTCCCAGCTACTCAGGAGTGTGAGGCAGGAGAATCGCTTGAACCCGGGAGACGGAGGTGGCAGTAAGCCGAGATCCGCCACTGCACTCCAGCCTGGGTGACAGAGCAAGACTCTGTCTCAAAGAAAAAAGAAAGAAAAAAAAAAAGCCAATTGCCAGTAGCTGCGGGACTAATTTGTTCTATTCTGAAAGAAATAAAGAGAAAAAGTATCCACCAGTGTCTCTATTTCATTCATATCGTATAGAATGTTAGCAAACTCTAGAGGCTTTTCTATCAGACTCTGTGTTTGATAATTTGGCATAATCTAGATTTACCTGACTTGATAAATGGAGTCAGTTCAGTTCCAGGATGTGTTAATAAGTGGCATACAAGAAAGTTTCTTTATAGTCCCCAAACTTAATAAAGAACCCAAAAGAACTACTTTAATCTTTACCTATGGTAATGTACTTGTCTCAAAAAAGAAAATAAATCAGTTTTTGTGTATTTTTACAGTGTTTTTTGTATTTATGGTACTAAAATTAAATTTTGGTTAGGTAAGTAATTAATGAAAACCTTTTTCTAGTTTCTTAAAGTAGGTTATTAGGTCACTAATTTTAATCTTTTCTTCTTTTCTGACGGAAGCATCTAAAGTTGTACAAATAGAAACATGGTAGCTAAAGCTCAAGTCACCCTTAACCAAACTCTATACCTTGTGCTTCCACCAATCCTAGTCCTTGGCGCTTCTCAGAAATGATCAGACTGGTGTGTTTTCTGCCAGTTTTATTTTTATGTATTTAAATACCTGCGTATGTTTTTATAGAAAATACATAGTATTTTGTGAGTATTGTTAAAATACTATAAGGATCCACAACTTCTTTGATTTACTCAAAAATACTTCTTGAAGATCTACCCTTATTGGTTTGTGTAAGTCTACTGCATTCTTCTAGTTTTGAGGTTTTGCCTTCAAGTTTAGTATTTACTGTAATTTTCTGGTAGGTATACTTTATGAAGTTTTTTAAAGTTCTATTTTTGACTTTCCAAAAATTTTTTATTGTTTTAAATTTTAAATGAATGATAAATATCAAATACTTTTCTCTGTTTATTGAGATGACCATATAGTTTTTATTCCTTTATTCATGTAGTGAATGATGACACATTGTCAAATGTTGATCTGTCCTTGGATTTCTGACATAACTACTGAGTTATGAGTACCTCTTTGGTCAGATCCTGTAGGTTTTAACATATGCTATTGTCATCCCACATTATTTTGAAGTATGTTTTAAAATTTTTTAGATAGCATTTGCCTGTGAAAACATCTGGGCTTGTAATTTTCTTTCATAATGAATTCAACTTATTTTAAAGATACAGGACTATTCATAATGTCTGTTTCATCTTGTGTTGTTTGGTAAGTTATATTTTTATGGAATTTGTTCATTTCGTCTAAATTGTCAAATATCTTGGTATAAAGTTGTTTATAAATACCGTCTTACTAGCCTTTTAATGTCTGTATGATCTGTTGTAATAGCCCATTTTCGTTCCCGATTTTGGTGGTTTGTGTTCCCTTCTTCATCAGTGTAATTGAGGGTTTGTCAATCTTCAAAGAAACAGCTTTTGGCTTTATTACTTTTCCCTGCTTAATTTTTATTTTGTTGACCTCTGTTCTTGTCTTTTTTCTTTCTTTTTTTATTTTTAGTGATGGGGTCTCACTATGTTGCCTGAACTGGTCCTCAAGTGACCCACCTGCCTATGCCTCCCAAATCATTGGAATTACAGGCATAAGTTACTGTGACCAGTCATATTCTTATCTTTAGTATTTTATGTTTTCTACTTACAGTGGGTTTATTTTTCTCTTCTTTTTCTAGTTTGTCAGAATAAAATATTAGGTCACTGATTTTGGTCTTTCCTTCTTTCATTTCTATAGAAGCATCTAAAGTTATAACTATCCTTCCAAGCATTACTGTAGCCAAATCTCAGGAATTTTGATATGTTGTATTTTCATTATCATTCAGTACAAAATATTTTTTAAATTTCTTTGTGATTTGTTTTTAATCCATGAAATATTTAGAAATGTGTTTTTAATTTCCAAATATTTGGGATTTCTAGATATCTTATTGTAACTGGTGTTTAGTTTAATTCTGTTGTGTCCGAAAACATGAATGAGTTCAATTCTTTTAAATTTATTGACTTGTTTTATGTCCCAGCATGCACTCTATCTTGGTGAATATACCGTGTTCAGGTAAAAGGAATGTGTGTTCTGTAGTTGTTGGGTTTAGTGTTCTATAAATATCAAGTAGGTCATTGGTTCATAGTGTCTTTTAAATCATCTGTGTCTTTATTGATTTACATAACATTTTAAATACAGATGAATGAAGAATGACAAATTGACAGTTTTATAATATATCATAGATAGCAAGCAAAAGATTGGCCATGATGGGCATGGAGATGTGCTGCTATCCAAAATTACTCTCTTCTTCTGACTCTTTTTCCCACTTCCTGTTGTTTCCAGTTTCCCCAAATACTTTACCCAATTGAAGATAAGAATGTATGTGCTGTGTTTTTCCATTTAAAGCCCATTTATGCTATAAATTACAAAAATACTGTGTAGGAAAAATGTTCTTTTTTGAAAAAAGGTATAGCTCACTGCAGCCTCCAACTCTTGGGTTCAAGCAATCCTCCCTCCTTATCCTCCCCAAGTAGCCGGGATTACAGGCACACACCACCATGCCTGGCTAATTTTTTAATTTTTAATTTTGTAGAGATGGGGTCTCACTATGTTGCCCAGGCTTGTCTTGAACTCCTGAGCTCAATCAGTCCTTCTGCCTCGGCCTCCCAAAGTGCTGAGATTACAGGCGTGAGGCACAGCACCTGGCTGGTAAAATCATCTTTAACATCAGTGTCCTAAATATCTATAAATAGGGCATGTATGCCTGCACAGATTGTAACTTCCAGAGCTCAAAATGAGATTAACTTGATTTTTAAATAATTTATTGAACTCCTACTATGTCCCGAGCTCTAGTGCAGGAGACAGATACTAAACACATAAATAATGTCAGACAGTGATTAATGCTGTGAAGAAAATAAGGCAGGATAATGAGAAGAGAGTGGGCTGGATATCTTATGTAGCCTTTCCAGAGCCACTGTCCACACCCTGGGGGATTGACTGGCTTGCACAACAACAAGGTCCCTTGTCTTCCTGCTTCCAAGTGGATTTGACCAGTGGAGAGCACTGGCAGGGAACTTCAAGAATAGAGGAGAGTGAGGTGCTGATCTCTGTGTACTGGCTGTATCCCAACCTAAGGTCCTCTCCATGTAGTCTTCTGTGTTTCCAGGTTTCATTCAGGCCTATGGATGGTAACAGCACTCTATTAATTGCCAACTCCATGGTTCTATACAATCTCCCTGTGGTTTCCCTTCATTCTGTCCATGCTGTTACACAATTATTTTCAAATGTCTTATTTTGCATGTGTTATCTGTTTCCTGCTGGGACCCCACTCTCTTTATGTGGGTCACATGGTGTGGGATTAGGGGTAGCAATTTTTGATAGGCTGATGACACAAATGACTGAGACCTAAATGACAAGAATGCAACAAACTTGAAAATATTCATGGGGAGATTCTCCCAATGGGAAATGCAAAGGCACTGAGGTAGTGATATGGTTTGGATGTTTTTTTCCCTCCAAATCTGATGTTAAAATGTGACCTTCTGTGTTGGAGATGGGCCTAGTGGGAGGTGTTTGGGTCATGAGGGCAGATCCCTCACCTATGGCTTGGTGCTGTCCTCACCTCATTGAGTGAGTTCTTGCTGTGTGAGTTCATGCAAGAGCTGGTTGTTGAAAAGAGCCTGGCATCTCCTCTCTCCCATGCTCTTTCTCTCTGTATGTGATACACCAGCTCCTCTTTGCCTTCAGCTGTGATTGGAAGCTTCCTGAGGCCTCACCAGGAGCAGATGCTCCAGCACCACACTTCTCATACAGCTGGCAGA